ACATCATCAAGGGTATAACAGATGCCAACAAAAACTTTTGATGTGCATCTTTTCTCTCCTTGCAGGGGTGGTTCTTTCCTGGTGTTTAAACTCTTGGGTTTCATGCAGGTTTCGAGTTCTTAAACCTTTTATTTCCCCTTCAGTTTCTTTCTCCTTTCTTGAGACTCAGTGCCAACAATAGCTCCCTCCAACTAACCCAGGGCCACTCTAGCCATTGTCCGTAGCTGATGCTGTTTTCGTTTATTTTTGCACATCAGCCCCACTGCTAACACTGCTAGCGTGTTTAAAGGTACAATCGTTTTCGTATTTCATAGTGAACCAATGAACAGATTTGGTGAGTAGAAAGTGAACAGAAACCACACACACACCCCTCCATGTAGTTGTTTTTAGTTTGATCAACTTAAACGCTAAGTCAGGAAAAAATAAGACAAATAGATTTATATTGGGGAATTATTTTGACAGTGGAGAAGCAATAGGAAGAACTGGGCTCCAAGATTTTTCTTGAAAGACAAATTCTGCCAAGGAGCAGACAACTTGATAGCATTTCATTGTCGCTAGGACAAAACATGAAAACTTCTGAGGAGGAAGTTCCATCCTGTCAAGGCTTTCTCACCCTTCCCAAGCTTGTACTGCAATATTATCGGAACAAGGGCCTTTTTTCCAAATACACTGGATTCATGTTCTTCACGCTTCTATGCTTTTTCCCATACTGTGTGTTTGCCACCTAATCCGTGTGAATGTATTTCCTCAGTGTTTGCACATTAAGCCAATGACGATCTACCTTCTCTGTCACGGTGTGAAGTTCTTATTAATTTAAATGATTTCTACTGCCTCTTCTTATTCTTCTCCCTCAAACTCAGCTTGAAAGTCAGCGCTTAACTGCCCGTGTGTTGGAGGTAAATGCTTCACAGACACACAGAGGAAGTATGCCAGATGCCTCTTCATCATGCCTGTCTGTGATCACTTTTCACCACCCCGCTTTTTCACCAGGCAGTGGCTCCAGCCCACCACCACCACCTGATGATGATCTGGAGCCTTCCTGCCTGCCTTCAACCCAGGGCCTTTGTTTATATATACATCCTTTCCTAGCCAGTAACAGCCTTATACACAGCCATGCCACAGGCTCTCTCAGGACAGACTCTTCCCTGAGCGAGCACTCCTCCCAATCTGAGAGTGAGTCCTCCACAGCCCTTCTGGCTGAACTTCAGCTGGGAAACTCTGACACTCCTGACTGCTCTGAGACACCATCCCCAGCTTGGGGTCAGAGATCTGCTGTGACAGATGGCATCACCTTAGCAACCCCTGCTGCCACACATGTAATTATTCTTCCTTCCTTTGCCTCCGCCATTTTTTTCAGGACTGCACTTGTTTGCTATCTGAACATTTTTATTTGCATAGGTGTTGATTAGTGAACCGACTCTATACCATCTGCTAGGGGAAGCTATCAGAGTCATCCTCATTAAGCCCACTTGGTGCTAAAATTTTTACTGGTATTCCCTTCTTACACACAGGTGCTATCTATGGTAACTGTAAAATGATCTACTTCTGATTTACTGCTTTTCTGTGGCTCATAAGCTATAAAGTAGTTTACTTATAAGGCCCTGTATCAGAAATGTAAATAAGTAGATTATCATCATCCATTATGGTTAAGTTATAGAGAAAGTCCAAAATGTTTCAAATATTGTCACTTACCATTAATTCCTGGAACATGACCCTTCCTCTGAGACTCATATCACTGTGTCCTGGGTTAATAGTTTGTGCACTGTCTTTCTCCCGAAAGTGATTCTGCCTGCATAGCACTAACTGTTCTTTGTAGTGGGTAGCTGTTTGATGCCTGATGCCTCTGATGAGCGCTCCTGTCACTGTGGGAGTGGATGATAGAAACCATCTTAGCCCATCTTACAGAAATTTAGCCTGAAGTTGCCTTGAAATGCTTTTCCTCAGCCATCCCAGTTTTGAAATTCATGAAAACATTTTTGTCTTTTATATCTCAACAATTTTTCTTTCCTTTATGCAATATATGAATAGTTCTCAGATATATGATATCATTGAAACAATGTCTGTCATTTCATTCCATCACTCATCAGTGGCTAATGAATGACTCAAACGCTGCTAATTTTTATCACGTAGATTCTCAGTCACTGATAACAAGGACATTGTGACTTCCATTGAAGGATGTACATGACCATCTACAACTTTAAGCAGAGAGAGAGAGAGAACTTTCTGAAATTGTTACCATCATAAACTCCTGATAGGTCCTGTCAAAGGGAATATATATCTGTGCTCATAATTGCTACATACTGTCAAGACATAAAACTTTAATTTGCATGCACAGAGAAATTCCACAAGCCATATTTTTTTTAAGTTCTACAACTACAGAAAATTTAAAAAAAAAATACCTCTTTGCAGTTGTTTGAGGTATTGGGGTGACTTAGTATTCATCAAGTGGCCGGATATAAAATTTGTTTTCTGGGAATAACCCAACCAAACCCCTAGCCACAGATGATCAGCCACCTGCCTGAGGTATGTCCTATGTTTTAGAAAAAGATTTTGTTTTGTTTTGTTGTTTTATTTTTAACATCTTTTAACAACTTTAAGGAATTTTATCAGGACATTCAACAAAAAAGGTTTCCTTAGTTAAGGTGCTTTTGGATCCTCACTTATGTGTCTTATATATAATACATAAAATCTTGTACACTGTCAGAGGTGCCTGTAACTGAAACTAGTCCCAATTATCAGTTTATTGCACCTGACTTTTCCATAAGGAATTTAACTTAATATGACAAAAAAATAAATCTGCTTTCAATGTTTATTCTTTTATCTCTAATTGGTGCTATTGAAGCCATCAAATTAATTCACATTTCCTAAGTATTATATAGGTTTGATATCCCTAATCCAAATATCCAAATTCTAAAAGTTTTCAAAATTTGAAACATTTTAAGCATTGGCATGACATTGTAAGTTTAAAAGTCCACACCTGACTTTATGTGTGATTAAAAAAAAAAAACCCGCCGGGCGGTGGTGGCGCACACCTTTAATCCCAGCACTCGGGAGGCAGAGCCAGGCGGATCTCTGTGAGTTCGAGGCCAGCCTGGGCTACCAAGTGAATCCCAGGAAAGGCGCAAAGCTACACAGAGAAACCCTGTCTCGAAAAACCAAAAAAAAAAAAAAAAAAAAAAAAAAAAAAAAACCCTCAAAATGGTTCAGTGGTTTAGAGCACTGGCTGCTCTTGCAGAGGGACCTCCATTTAATTCCCAGCCCCTACATGGCAGCTCACAACCACCTGTAATGGGATCTGATGCCCTCTTCTGGTGTGCAGACATACATCCAGACAAAGTACCCATATACCTAAAATATATAAATTAAAAAAAAAAACTCAAGGGCACTGATTATGTTTTATAAAATTACCTTCAGACTATATGTATAAATTGTCTATTAAAAAACTAATTTCATATTTAGACTTAAGACCCATCCCTCCCAAAAGATATGTCATATGCATTTATCAACATCCCACATCCAAAACTCTGTGAAGTTTGAAATACTTCTGCCCCTAAGAATTTGGATAAGGGATACTCAACTGTACTAAAAAACCTTAGTGTTTAATAAAAAAATATTGTTTTTTACATTCATTATCATAACATATCAAAGTTGATTTAGAAAAAGACAAAAAATATTTGTAGGTTGTTCAGCAGAGTTACGTAAAAGCTCTGAAGTACTGGTCCATCCTGTGCTTTACACATGCTTAAATGTCCAATTCAAAGGGTCCTTAACATGTGGCTGGTCACAAAATAAGAGAATTTTTCCAATAGCTTAAAGAAATATTTGAGTACAATCCTTATAATTGAATATTTATTGATTTTAGGACTGATGTGATAAGACTTTTAAATAAATTAGCTTTCTTCTGGTTCATTTGAAAGCATAATCATCTTAGAGTGAGGTCATAAATATACACCCACTCACCTGCTGTGTTTCATACTTACATAATTGAAGTTTATTTTGTTAAAAAATAGTAGAAAATTTTGTAAGTTATGAGTCTCTATGTCTGTGCATATACATATCTGTACGTACTTATCCATATTGATGTTTTAACTAAATATTCTTACTAATGTTTTACCTCATTTGCATGCATCATTCAGTTTGCATCATGCTCAATGAACTATGAACTGAGGACTGTGTAAAGATAGTCCTGAGCTCAACTTCTCTGATCTCAGCTGATTCAACTCAGTCACAACATGTGTCCTCTGGCTATCTACTAGGTCATCAATGCCAAGTTGCATGTTTTAACAACTACAAAAGAAGCACATGCGTGGCGGTCTCAAGGAGAAGCTTCAGGTAGCATTAGACGTAGAAAATATTCAGATGTAAACAAGGAACCCAATTTATTAGGAAATCAGAATGCCAAGTAAAGTTGAAGGAGGGAGAAGCCAGGGTTTTAACATCTTCACAATGCTTTGACCGGGTATATGACTGCTAGAATAGGTCATTCATGACTCATAAGTCCAACCACTTGCCCTCTGTGTTAGTCACCTTGTTTTGGAAATACAGACTCATTAGAGGGTGTTCTGACTGAGTTGTGAACCAGCCCCTCCCCTCCTGTCAGAGAACATTCATTTCAAATCCACCAAGCAAAACAGTGTGAGGGAGTTGTGACTACTTCGGGCCAGGCTGTGAGAGCTCAGTCATCCTCCCCATTTGCTCCGCAGTGACCCCTGTTGGTGGCACCTCTAAAGGCAGAGAGTGGTGTGCCCGCTGGCCGGCTGCTCTCACTTTTCTTAACCACTTCCCATGCCCTCTGATACTACAAAAGAACAACACATAAAGGATAAGATGGAGAAAACTGAAAATAAAAAAGGACTTCGGCCCTCTGACAGCAGTTTTCAAAATAAATAAAAACCTTGTCGTTGATTACTGACCTGTAGTTGGATACGCCTGCTGTCACTTAAAGGGGTGATGTTTACAGGGAGCCATGTGCTATAACAGGGTCCATGTGCTTTTCTCAGAGCCAGATAACCATCAATGGCAACTCTGGTGGCGCTGTGAGTCCAGTGAGTTACTACCAAAGGCCATTTTCCCCTTCCGCATACTCCCTTCCAGCCTCACTCAACTCCAGCATTATCATGCAGCATGGCAGATCGCTTGGTAAGTACCGCAGTCATGATTTCCACGACCACTTTCATGTGACAACTATCTATCACAAGAGAAAATATAAGGCAGCAAAGTTGAGGCAGGAGTGACCAACACCACTCTCTCTGGCGACCCTAAGTTGGGAGGAAGGGCACACATCGTAGAAAAGAGGTCCCTTGCTATTTGGAGGTAATAATTCCATCTGTAGCTAAGCCTGGAAAATGCTAGTTGACATTTAAGTGATGGGGTAGAAAGAACAGAAAAATGCCTAGTGAGAGAAGGGGGAGCTTGTAGGACCCAGAAAACACTAATGTAGCACTTTTCTATTGAGGTGGCTCGTTCCTTCGTGGAAGAACTTCTTTAGTTCTTTAGTTAGGCTGTAGAAAAATTGTTTGACAATGAAAACAGTGTGAGATGGGATAGGGTACAGTAACACATGTTGAAGTCCTGGATCACACTGTCATAAACTATCAAACTGAGGTTTCAATGAAAATTCTACAATTTATAGAGACAAGTTCTTAACCCTTTAGAGATTAAGAATTAGGCAAAGACTTATAGTCCTTGGTTCTGAGGAGATAGCTCAGTGGTTAAGATCATTTGTTGCTCTTCCAGAAGACCCAGACTCAATTCCCAACACCCAAATGATGGTTTGCAACCATCTGTGACTCCAGTTTCAAGGGATCTGACACCCTCTTCTGACCTCTAAGGACACCGAGCACACATGTGGTATACATACATACATATAAACAAAGCACTCTTACATAAAATAAAATATATAAATTTAATTTAAAAATTTTGTTATAGTCCTCCTCCAATAAAAATGATTATTTCCTAAATAATCATTAACTGTGACTCTTTTTCCCATTACTTGCTTCGTGAACACAGTTTTCCCTGTTCTACCAAATAAAAAAATATAAATATTCAAGTATAGACTGGCCTTGACTTTAGACCTAACATATAAATAGATTTTACATGTTTTTATATAAACAATGAACATATAAAAGCTCGTTTCAAAACTTTAAGCATATAATTTTGTGGGTCTTGTGAACCCTTTAGAGCCTCCTGGAAAAGTCCTGAGCTACACAAAGATAGAAACATTCTTATGTAGCAAAATATATTAGCATAGTTTAAAAATAATGTTACAACTATTTCCTTGTTGCTAAAAATTCAATATAAAAATTCCAAAATGTTGTGTGAAAAATGTTACCAAATTGAACCATTATGTGAAGTTAGGTTGAAAATGTTTCCATGATATTGAGAACCTAGAAAGTTTTCAGAACTACAGAGCAGAAAGGATGCTAAGGAGAGCATACCTACACAAACCTCTCAAAAAGAGAGAGGGCCCATCTTGCAGCCCCTACAGGTCAGTAACAGAGAGAACAATCTAGAACACAGAACTGTACGCCATTCTGTAGTTGGTAGCAGACCCCTTTCCCTCTTCTTCGTACATTGACTCTGAACTAAACAAATACACCACAAGTTTACTAAAGAACACTTTCTGTGGATCTCAAGCCCACTCATGGTAGAACTCAGCTTCTATGGTCAACAAAACTTCTATAAGGTTTTAAATATAGTCATGGGACTCATTAAAGAGGAGTCTAGATATACTTGTGCCTTTTCTAATGCTACTCCTGGGAGCCATTTGTGAAGCTTGTAATGATCTCCTTTTAGAGTGTAAGAAAGAAGAGCTTGCTTGTGCCAAATTTCTCTCTTTGACAACCAGTCCACAGCTCAGTTTTATAAGAGACTCCACTATTTCAAGATTTTGTAATGTAACTATGCTTTATTATACATGAAAATGCAACTTCCTAAATTATTTCAGCCATAACATTTTACTAAATAATCATTAAATAGACTCTTTATCCCATTGCCTGTCTTAGTGAACAGTTTTCCCCATTCTATATAAATACTCAAGTAGAGACAGGCTTTGACTTTAGACCTAACCAGTGAGTAGATTTGACACATAAACTGTTTAACATGGAAAGAAATTTCCTGTATAAACATTGAACACATTCCAACTGGCCAAGGCAATGATGAGAGCGGAATTTACAGTTCTACTCTGCCCTAGGTGAACTTTAGATTTCATGAAAGACAAAGGATTGGAAACATAACAGTTTGTGGGCCATATAAGAGAAATATAAAAAGATCTGGCTTGCATTGAACAAGCTGTGTATTTGTACCGTCCCATAAACTGTGCGTGAAGACAGACTTGATGCTGTTTCTTAGGCTAGGACTGTGGCACATCCTTTCTGTTCAGAAAACCTTGATTGCTGACAAAAGTCTAGCATTGTGGCTATCACGTCAAGGGGTCTGAGGAATTAAAAAGTCAACCAGGGTGAAATAACACACTGTGACTTCATTTAGAATAGCTTGGGAACACAGGATTTGTATGACTAATCAATAACACATGAAGTAATTCCATTTCCAGACTCATCCATTCAATTCAAAAATGCCTCAAAATGCTTTTCTGTTGCAAACTAAATTGGAAATGGCCTTAATTATAACAGTTATAATGATACAATGGATATCAGCCTAGAGAGAACATAATGCTAAACACCTATGTGAAAATAAGTCCAAGTCTTAAAATGCTTATTTAATAATGCTTTATACAACATCTTCATGAAAAATACATTTATATATATGGTATAAAAGTTCATTATACTATCTATACATGATATAAATTATGTGTGTATACAAAAATGAACCCGACACACACCTATGAATATAATCAACAAGTACTATCTTAAAACATAAGAATTTTCAGCTTCCACAGAAAAGAGCCCAGAAACAGACCAGCTAAAGCAGGTCACACAGAGCCTAAATGAAGACTCAGTTCTGCTCACCAAGTTCTGAAATTTCAAAACAGCAGAAGTCATATCACTTTTGTATGATGTGACTGAAATTATTCCAGAGGTTCATAACATTAACATGAAGATGGAAATTTAATAAGCCTCCTGTAACTTTAATCCTTAAGACAATTAATTGTCAGTCTCAAAGGATTAAAAAGCTATGGCATGGGTGTTTTTACCATAAAACCAATATTAAATAAAATTCAATAAATTGACATCACTGAAAAGCACTTATTTACCCACAAGCCTTCACTTGCTAGTGTATGTCTAGATCTAAAAAAAAAAATTAACTGACTTTCATTTTCCATTTATTTTTATGGAATCATTTCTTTGGATAAATAATCCTAGTGCCTCGCTGAAATGACCTCTCATTACTCCCTCAAAAGGCAGTCAGCAGCTTCACAAGAATCATGTGTGACTAAGGACCTGAGTAAAGTTACTAGGTTTCTTTCAGCTTCTGCCCCCTCATCTATAAAGGTGACTCTTGTCCGTCCTCCACCCATCCCGTCCCTCTAAGATTTCTTCTCAACATGGCTATCTTCATCATTCAGCAAATATTCTTCCTCTCACCCTTTGCTGTAAAATGGTGAGGTCTTGATCCATACATATATGTAATACCCACTTCTGAAGGAGATGGGGTAAATATGGGGTGAAAAGGCACAGGGGTAGAAATGTGGATCTTATTATGGTTGGCAATCAATGTATAAAAGGCACCATTAATTTATAATCTGTGCATCCAGTGTGCTCCGTGTCACTGTATTTTCCACACAGATTCTGCAGAGGCATATTCCCAGCATGCCCAGTCTCTGGATGGCACCATGGGAGGCTCCATCCCACTCTACAGATCCTCAGAGGAAGAGAAGAGGGTAACAGTGATCAAAGCCCCGCATTACCCGGGGATCGGCCCTGTGGACGAGTCCGGCATCCCCACAGCCATTAGGACGGTAAGCCATGCCAGCATGTGTGTCTTTCTGGGTCTGCACATGAGCACCACAAAGGATAGATTGTGCATGCTGCTGTGCATTCCTAGGGTCTTATATCATGAGGACTGTCCTCTGAGCCTTCGGCGCTCCCATGAATACCACGCTGTGTGGCAGAGGAAGAAAATTGGGGAGCGAAGACAGCTACGCAATCTTGTCTCTCTGTTTGAATGTAAAATCATGAAAATGTGGGTTTGTTAAATAATAACACTCTGTTTTTAACTTTCTATCAAGGAGAGGTAAAGCCTAGAGAGAAAAAGGGGAAGGGGGTGAAGTGAGTGAGTCCTTTCACAGCATCCAATTCTAGCATGCGCTGTAAAAAAGGCAAGTGATTTGTTTCTTGAAATGGATGTGAGTTCACACCAGGGGATGGGAAACTGTGAACTGGGACTTGGGAGGTGAGATGATTGCAGTAAAGGGAGGTAATATCATGGGAAGGAAAAGCTGTCTGTGAAAAAGCAGGAACATTTGCATGTCCCTCTCAGCTGAGCCTGCTGAGAGCTCCCTGGATGATAAGTCCAAGTGTTGAGGGCATTTTTTTTTAAGTCTTTAAACTCTGCCAAAGCGTTACTCAGTGTGCCGGGGCAGCCCTTTCTGGCAATGCTCCGCAGCAGCAGCAGCAGAGCCTAGGCAGGCAGCTGTGTGTTGACCACATCCACTGCCAGAGGAGGTCTGTGGTAGCAGAGGAGGAAGACCGGGAAGCCAGGATGAGAGCCACGGCGTCTTTACAGGTGAATTTGGTGGGGGTGAGAGGAGGGAGCTCTAGCTACATAGACGTGGCCTGTGTACCCTCATCAAGGGCTGAGAAGACACTGCCAAGAGCAGCTTCCCCTGAATGGAAACACAGGGAGCCGGGGACAGTGAGGGACCCAGCACAAGAATGTAAAGGGTGTCAGGACAGACACAGTGGTGAGACAGGACACCTTTGAAAACGACCGAAGATGAACTAGGAGCCGTCTTTGAGTTTGCAGTGACCATGTTTTACATACAGACGTGAGTTCAGAATTGATTATTCTTGGCATTGGCATCGTAGCTGAAGCCAAAAAAAAGTGTATCCGTATAGCATGCCCTTGGGATTTAGACTTTTCAGATTGTTAAGGATGTTGCATGTAACTAATAAAGCTTGAAAAGTCTGTGTTGGAATGATGATGGTCGTATTTAAGTGACAGGAAAAATCCCAGGGCTTGTGACTAAGCCGCTCCGTTTTATGACAGCTGTATGTTTCTGGTGGCAGTGTTTTGACAGTGTTTGCCTTTCAGAATTTCTGACTCAAAATGACTAAAATTGAATTTTCCCATGCTAATGATGGGCTAATGACTCAGATAGGGATGGTGTCATGGATTTTGCCTGTTAGTCCTTGAGACACAGTATACACAAAACCTAAGAGCGCGTTGCTTTCTGTGTGTCCAGTTGCAGATCCTGTCTGAAAGATTCCATCTGAAAACCGATAGATGTGTTTTTAAGTTAGTAAATGATGTGTAAAAATGGACCACATTAATGTGACCCATTCTTTTTAACCTACCGATTTTTTAATCTGTAATGTTTGACTCACAAGTCTTTGTTTTGTTAGGTTTTTGAGGAAAAATCTAAGATGTTGGAGATGATAAATAAAACTCAATTAATATTAAAAGTTTATATTGTCTGCTGCTAAATAAAAAGCATGCCAAATGATAAGCAACCACATATATCCACTAAGCATGTGGTGCTAATTTCCCTTATAAGAAATTGAAAGTGAATTATTAGCCACTGCAGAAGTTCCTTAAAAGGAACCCTGGTTTTTTCCGTGGAACTTGCTCAGACCTTTAAAACTTTATAAGAGGGATCCTGTTCGTGTTTACTACTTTGCAGCCTTAAGAATCACACATCCAAGTATAGACCTGTATTTATAAATGTTGAATCCTGCCATCCCCTGGGCCAAGAATATCCAAGATTATTTCCTTTCCTCATTTGTGTAGAAGGTAATGATTATCAGACTCAGCTTGCCTCAGCTTCCTGCTCAGTATGTACATTAAAACCAGCACTGTCTCAAATGTGCCATGTCGGGGTATCCTTAGATAACTGTTACCCTGGTAACAAGATATTATAAAGTGGTCCAGAAACTGTTGAAAACAATAACCGAGTACTCACTACTTTTGAGTGTTTGTGGTGAAGGGAGAAAGTTTGAAGTGCCTCTTCTCCTGTGACTAGGATGTCTACATCAGCCTTTTACTGCCATATTCTTAAAAACAGTAACAAGAATCTCCAGGGCTCAGAGCCCATGAGACTGTGTAAGAAACCTGGCTAGTTAAGTGACATGCAATATTTATTTCTTCTAATCCAAATATAAGAGTTGTCTGGCTATTTTAGAGCTATCGGGGCAAAGGTAGAATAGGATTGTTGTGTTATACGTAGAAAATATGTCTGTTTTTTAATGTCTGCACATTAAATTAGTATACAGTGCTGATGTTTCATGACTAGAAGAAGATGAAAGTCGAAGCCTAGTCTGATAAGGCCATGGATGATAGCTGCATAGTAGAGTCCCAGGAGTTAGGTAGTCTTACGCAAAATGCTTTTGAAGGACACATCCAAAGGTAAACTTCCCGAGTGTGGACTTCTGCATTCATAATCTCAATGTGAGACATGACATGCTCCAAAATGGCACTGGCTAAAGGAACGGAAGAGCTCACAGCCTTTCTTTCAGAAAGACACACTGAGGTTGCAAGTCTCTGCTTTGCCAGCTTCCGAGTCTCTCTGCCAGCTGACTGGGCATCTCCTGGCTTCTCTGTACTCACCATATAAAGCTAACAGATGGCATAACTGTGAGATCCTGCCTGATATAGGCCCTCTGGCAAGTGCAGACAACAATGCTGTCTGTCACGGTGCATGGCCATATACAGCGACACAACTTCCTTTTTCGGCCTCCCTGTCCCCATTGGCTGTGTCCAGGTACAGTGAGAAAACTATTTTCACACACAGCTGTGTGTTACTTCTGTTGTTGCTGCTCTAGTAGCATAAAGGTAGAATAGGAATAAAGCTTAGTGAAAGAGAAAACCGCCTTCAGAGAAATAAATGGTCCCTAAAGATAAATGTTCAAGTATTTTGTGTGTGTGCATGTATGTGGGCATGGAGAGGCTAGAGGTCAAACCTGGGTGTATTCCTCAATGGCTGTCCGGGCTTTCTCACCAAAGCCGGAGCTGTTTCTGCGTCCTTAATGCTGGTGTTACAGGAGCCCACTGCCATGCCCAGCTTTTCACACAGGCGCTAGAAATAGGAACCCCGGTTGCCATACTCACATGGCAGGCACCTTACTGACTTCAGCCCCAACCCTCATGTTCCAGTATTCTGTTTGAGCCAGCAAGCAGCAGATTCCTGCCTCTTTGTAGATAACCCCCGACACCAGTTCCCATCATTTGGCCATGCATCAACGACACCCTCAAGCCCCCATTGCAGAAGAAGCCTACAATGCATATGTGGTTCCCATATCTCTAGTGACTGTCAGAATTGTCTACTTCCAGAGTCAAAATAAATGTAAATACTGCCTAACAATTTCTAGGTGAAAAATTCAATGACCACATACATAAAAATCAGAGTATAAAATATCAAACAGTTTCCACTCTTACAAGTCCTAACCAATTTTTTTTCATTCTGCTCTCATACATTACATCCAGACCCAACCACAGCTTCCCCTCCCCCAACAGAGCCCCCGACCCCAGGATTTCTCCTCAGAAAAGAGCAGACTTCCCAGGGACATTGACCAAACACACCATAACCTAACCAATCTTTTAAATCAGGGCAATGACCTCGGAAAATCTGATGCTTTTTAAGTTGCCTGTGCACAGAATGGTTAACTTCTGGCCCAGCTAGCTCTGATATAGTTGAGATGAAGATCTTGCTGAGCAAAGATTGTTGCGCTACAGTTAGAATAAAGAATGTATGTTTTCACAGCCTGTGAGACAGAGTTGCATCTGATACGCTAGGTTTGCCCAGTACTGCACTCCTCAGATGTTGGAGCTCCCCGGCTGTGTGTAGATACTGAGATTTGTTTTAGTGGAAGGGCTATCCTAAGCCCCCTGACACACATCGTGAGAGACCCTGACTCAAGAGAACAAGGCTGCGAGTCAGAGAGGAGGATGTCTGACATCTACCTCTAGCTTCTACATGCTCACATGGGCATGCGCACCTGTACACACATGCATATGCCCCCATACACCCAAAGAAAAGAAGGGATACGTAAGTTTCTCATATTCCTATTTCTAGAAAGCATTAAGTAGTAACTAAAGGCTCCAAGATTTGAATGATGTTTAATATTTAGACATTAAGTTCCTATTTGTACTGTAACCTGCTGCTCCTATCACACCTAAAGCCTGGCACGCATAAGGAATGCCTACCATCACATGGTTTATAATTTAGCAAGGCGAAAGTTGTATATACTCTAATGTCTTGTCATAGAAGTTTTGAACTCATAGTCACACTTTTTTATATATATATATATATATATATATATATATATATATATATATATATATATGCTCTATGACTGTGCATTGTCTGATATATTCAGTATCTTAGTCACTTAGACTAGTAAATGCTAATTTGGTCTTCATTGAAGCTGATCAGAATATATACTGCTTGAGTCAAAAATATGCCCTCATTAAATTTTTAAATGTCTTCACAGAACACTCAATAGAAAATTTTAAGAATAATGAGAAGGACTAGGGAAATGATCTGTTAAATGTCTGCTGGGCAAGCATGGGGACCTGAGTTCCATGCCCAGCACCCACATAAAAAGCCAGGCATGGTGGTACACACTTGTAATCCCAGAACTGGAGGGTGGGCACAGCAGGTTCCCTGGGGCTGCCCACCCTCATTGGTAAGTCCCAGGTCCCAGAGAGAAACCCTATCAAAAAACAGGATTGCTTCTGAGGAACAACATCTGAGATTGACCTCTGTCCTACACACACACACACACACACACACACACACACACACACAGAAAGAGAGAGAGAGAGAGAGAGAGAGAGAGAGAGAGAGAGAGAGAGAGAGAGAAATAAGCTGCTCGTGGTACATCCATGTAATCTCAGCACATGGTAGACAGATCATGAGTTAAAGGCCAGTTTAGGATACATATGGAATCCTTGCTTCAGACATATACACTTAACAACAGCAACAACAACAACAACAACAATAATAATAATAATGAAAAGGAGCTGATGTTTCATCAAATATTGGCTATGTACAACTGGGCACAGCTAAATTGAATAAATAAAACCATAACACAGAATGTTCCAATCCAGTCAATATGAGATACTCCACTTACAAACTGCATAAATAACAAGATAAATTGCTGGAATTGCCATCAAGTCATAGCAGAAATGCAAATCTACTGTTGGAAATATCAAATATTAGCAGTGAAGACTTTCCCCGGGGGTGTTGACTTGAGAGTGTGAAATCTCAGATTGTGGGTCTGGGACTGAGGTAGATTTATTATAAGAGTTACGACATCATAACTAGACAGCAGCATTGTAGAAGTTCTGAAGACAGGTCAGGCCCACAAGGCTAAAGGCTCAAGGAGAAAAGGCAGGCCCATCCTATACAGCTAATAAGTAACCTTATTGACTGCATGTGCTTGCAGTCAAGGTGTCTCAGATACTCGGTAGCAGGGGAAAGATTAGACCTTTTGGTAATGTGGGTCCGTCATTCAGAATGTGCCACCTGTAGCCCCTGATTACTTGGGGTGTTGGGTAAAACCACTTTGGGGGCAGTGAGGATTATAGACTCACAGACAGTCACATTTCATAGCAGCAGTGAGGGTAAAGAGAGAGGCTACAGCAGGTGAAGCATGGCCTGAGAAGCCTTAAGTCCAAACCTAACAGAAAGGGTTGATCATTCTTGGATGTTCTCTTTGACAGACAGTGGACCGGCCGAAGGACTGGTACAAGACAATGTTCAAACAAATTCACATGGTACACAAGCCGGGTATGTATGTTCTTCTGGGTTTTGTTTTGTTTTGTTTTTTATCGAGTGCTTATGGATTGAAGGATATATACTCAACTTTTGCATAGACTTTCTTCTTTCGTCACACAAAAACATCAAGACCCCAGCAAATATGATGGTCCCTTCTTTTCAGCATGTCTCCTATTCTCCCTTTACCCCTAAATCACAGATGTGTGCCTCTGCATTAACCATGAGCTCTCAAGAAGCCTCCGAAGAGTGTGTCCTTTGGAGGTTACCAGATGTTCTGGTCTTAGCCCTCTGCCCATCTCTGTCTACATCCACACTGGGGTATTATGCACATCTAGACCCATTGCTACACCTGTCTGCCCATGTCTGTTTCTTACTGCAAGAGGGACTGGAATGGCTTCTCCTGATCCCCACTCAGTATAGTTGACAAGAGACCTTAAAAACACTTAAGGAAAATTAGGATGCAGCGGACACAGAATCTGCCTAGGGAAGTGAGGACAAGGGACCAGTTTTGCGTGTGTGACCAGGGCAGAAGTTCACTCTGCAGAGGCCTGGAGTGCAATATTTGGAAATGCAAAGTGCTGTTATATGCTAGAAGAAAGAAAAAAAACATTGCTTTTTTCTGCTGGTGTGTTTCTGTCATTTTTCTGACCTTCTGCTGTCTTGGCAACAAGGTGGCAGAGTCTGGATTATCATGTTTATGTTTCATTTTCTAGATGAGGACTCAGACATGTATAATACTCCTTATACATACAATGCAGGTAGGACGCCTTTCCTCGCTTGCCATGACTGGTCACACTCCACTGTCGGGAAGAGCCCCAGCCCTCGTCATCCCACCACCACCCCATGTTGTCAGTTCCTGTGAGGAGGAGGGTGCCTCACTTCCTTTCTCAGAGCATGTCTAACAAAAGATTGATCCTTTCCCCCTGGAAATGGGAACTAACACTGTTCTGCGTCATCCATTCCCCCCCCAACCCCCAACCCCCACCGGCTGTTGGTTTATCCTCAGCTTCAGGAATGTTTAACCAGTGTGAAGGGACAGGGTGAAAGAACAGACTGTGACCTGGTTACACAACAAAAAGAAAGATCTTTTTTATCAGCAGAAAGACCGATTATCATTGCATAAGACCTCTCAGATACCATTCCCCCAAAACAAGTCAAGCAAAGTGTTTTACGACCATGTCCAGGCTTTTGCTCCAAAATGGAACCATTCATTGAAAGATGTGAAAACCTCCCTCTTGGCCGGACCACTTCTCTGACTCAGAGTTGCCAATGCTCACAATGGAATGACCTCAGCTCTGGGCATTCCCACTTGTATTCGAATGTGCTGGTTTCTTGTGGGGTGGTCTTCATACTCGTGAGAGAGACACCGAAACTATGTCCCCTTCTATCAGTTTTTCCTAAATATCACATCGGGAGATTGTACCCAACCGAGCCATAGGCCCAGGATTGTGCCTTTATTTAGGGTCCACTTGCCACCCTAAAAGAAAACTCAGTGAGACTCTCCCCTCCCTAAAACCTGATGACCAGCAACCAAGCCCTTTAACTGGGTAAGTTTGCTGCTCAACTCGAGAGAAAATGATTTAAAAAAAAAAAAAATCAAGCTGGTGATCTCCGAGTTTGATTCTGTATCCCCATATTACTTCAGGAAGTCCGTTAAGATAAATACTCCCATCCTGCCCTGCTCCACCAAACTCACCTCCTTGATTCACCTCACAAGTTAAAGTCTGACTGTGGAGTTGACCCAGACACACTTCAGAGCAGGTGTTGTTGAGTGTCACTTCTCAAGGAAACAAATGCACACAAGAGGAACAGTCAAGCCGAGATAAACTTAGGCCAAGATTGAGACTCCGAGAAACTCCAAATTTTTACAGACTTCTAAATATTGAAATGGGTCCATCTCACTGGTAATTAATAAGCTGAAGTTGAGTTATGTTACCCTGTAAAGCCTGGGGAGTTTTATCATTCAGTCAGCCAGCAAAACGCCTATGACCACCCTCTACTTCCTAACAACCCACAGCTTTGTGTCTTGCATGTTATTTCTGCCACAAAAGCTAATCCTTCAAGCCCAACTCTAGTCCCACGAGATCCATAATATAGTCTGTGTCTCACTCATCATCTTCAAACATCCTTTAATTTTTACTTTGTCCTTCTCCATTGGATTTTACTAACTGCCACAAACTCTTTTTCAATCACACATCATCTTGCATCAGCTTGTTCCGGGACACTCCCCTGTCCCATGTGGGAGCTGCACCTCATGCATACAGCATGTTCTGTATTTGGTGCATTGCAATTAACACATCAACTGTCTTATGTACACCAGTATTACAAAGTATTAGCTGCTATTTTAATCTTCCTCTGAAAGTTTACCCAAGGTGTTAGTTTCTGTGATTGGGAAGAAACCTTGCTGAGTACCTGTAAGTTTATTTTTACTAACTAGCCTCAATTCTCATTAATCCTACAATAATGGATAATTTACTATAATCAGTACTTACATGCAAGACAAATTGATATCTAACTAATAAGTGATGATTCATAAATTAATGTTGACAAGTTAATAAACAATGTACCACCTCTAATGTACACATTATGAATATGCTTATTGATAATTTTTCAAAACCATTGGCTGTTTCGCATAGCCCAACATAGCCTTAACGCATCTTTAAGTTATTTGCTCGTTTTGTTGGTTTTTCTCTTTTTCATGGTAGGTCTGTACAACTCACCCTACAATGCTCAGTCTCACCCTGCTGCGAAGACCCAGACCTACAGACCTCTTTCCAAAAGCCACTCAGACAATGGCACGGATGCTTTTAAGGAGGCGCCCTCCCCAGTGGCTCCCCCACATGTTCCACCACGACCAAGAGATCAGTCTTCAACAGAAAAGTAAGACTCCTTCCCCCTGAAATGGCTTCTCTTAGGATAAAAACCAACCCATAATGGCACTCAGTGAAGAATCAGCCCAGCATTGTGGAGCAAATATATGCCAAGACTTACTATATTAGCCCATATTGAGCATCATTACTGAGATTGTGCTGGACACTCTCAGGGAAGTCTCGGTCATGTTCTCATAATGCTCTAAATTAAATTTGATGTATCAGGGACACAAACTCTATTTTCTGTTCAATAAGTGCATATAAGAAGTAAAGAGATCACAGATGGAGTTCATAAATAGAGCATTTGTCCGAGTACTACAAACAACAACAAAACATGTATACACACACACACACACACACACAGTGTTCACAAGCCTTGGAGATGAGTCTCAGTGATAGTGACTTGCTCCACATACACTGGACTCCGGGTGCAATTCCAGTTCTGAGCTGAAATGGGGTAGAGTGTGTTACATCATTCATGTAATCTCAGTCTTCATCAAGATGAGGCAGGAATTCAAGACCACTTGGAGCTACCTAACTTCCAAGCCAGAACTGAGCTACACATGAGCATTATGTCTCAAAATAAAAACATATAAAATTAAATAAAATAACTGGAAATAATGGGCAGGGATTCCCTTTGCTGCCCCACATTCAAGAGACACTAAGCAGTTAATTTTTAATTTGCACAGATTTGAAATTTCAGGTCTTTTAAGTTATCTTTTAGAAACCAAGAAAAATATTCTTAAATCATAAATAAGGCATTTTAACAAGTGCCTGTGACTCACTCCACCAGTTATTTTAACTGCTTCTAATTTTTATTTCTCCACTGAAATATTTTTAAATATGCTATTCACACCCAAATAAATTTTTATGAACACATTTCAATTGTGTTATGTTAGGAGGACTGTAGCTAATAGTCCTAGTTATTGGTAATCTTTCCTGACAGCTCATTATGAGGCAAACACTGTGCTAAGCACTTCCTTGTATTACACCATTTTATTCTGATAGCAACCCAATGGGACATGTTCTATATTACAGAAAAAGAAACTGGTTAGAAGATTATAATAACTTGCTCTATTTGTATAGGTAGAGTGTCCAGGCCAAGATCCAACAACCTCAGCTTCCCCTAAAGACACATCCTATGCTATGTCTACTGGTAATTAATAAGCAGTAATGGAAAGGGTGTTTATTATTACTGGGTTTTATATTACTGGTTTTTAAAGTATTTTCTGCGATAATACTGTCTTAGTTATTGCTCTGTTGCTCAAACAGCAAACAGGACACAGCTTCACATGGATATGAAAACTGAAATGGGAAGGTGTGAGGGCTCTACCAGATAGAGCTTGTTGACTGGCTCTGCACCTAGGGCTTGGTTCTCATTTTCTCTCCTAGAGCACTTCTGTCTGTGTCCACCATTCTGTGGAGAAGGAATTTCACTCTATTCCATAGGAATCGGAATTCCCTAACTCAAAAGATCAAAAGCTCCTGTTTCTCAAATATAAGTAAATAGGTATTTAATAACCCTTCCTGCTCTCCAAAGGAAGTTTTCTGATTTAGTTCTAGCTGCCCAGAAGAGCTTGGTGTTCTGAGTCCTACTGTAAAAATGCACTTGTCAAGAGCCCTTGACAGACTCTCAGTGGTATCAATGCAAGGAAGCAATACATTCCGGAGGGCAGGGCTGTGGCGGGGGGGGGGGGGGGGGGGGGGGGCGGGTTGGTGTGTTTCAAGGCTCACACCAAGGGGTCTCCCACCACTCTGCTTATCCCTATGCATGCCAGCCCAAGAGATGCAGCTGTAATTCTCACACATGCACTCAGATGCCATTTACAAGAAAGAAGATCAAACATGATATGTGCATTCCTCCTTGTCCCCCTGGATTAAGGAAGCCAGGCCACCAGGTAGTTAACTGACAAAGCTTTGCAGAGCATACTGCCACTTATTTTAAACTCAGACACACACAGCTGTAATTAGGAACCCAAGGGTCTAGCAACATGTCACTCTTCGTGTGTCTACAAAACTCTTCTGTGAGTTTTTACAACCATAGTCACAGAGGTCAAAATAGAAGGAAAAATGATCTAAAAGGGAGAGTTTAATGTACCATTTATTAATTAAAGTTAAGCATATGTGGTGTTTTTTCATAAATTTTCAACCAGAGAGATGTTTTAGTTGTATTGGCTTTGTTTTGGTTCATTTGCTGTAGTCTCTCAGGGTAGGAGAGATGGCTCAGCAAGAAAAATGGCTTGCTGCTTAAGCCTGAAGAGCTGCATTCAATCCCCAGAACCTGTGGTGAAAGGAAAGTACTGACTCCCAAAAGTTTTTCTCCTGTGTGCATGCACTCATGTACACACACACACACACACACACACACACACACACACACACACACACACACACACACAATCAATAAACAATGTTAAAATTAACCTTGGAAATTGACTGTGGGTGGTATTTCACAGGTGTTTTATGCACACAAATTGCTTCAACACGTTTGCTGTTCATTTACAGGCATGACTGGGACCCTCCAGACAGAAAGGTGGACACCAGAAAATTCCGATCGGAACCAAGGAGTATTTTTGAATATGAGCCTGGGAAGTCGTCCATTCTGCAGCATGAAAGACCCGTAAGCACTTGTCATTGGTCAAAAATCTAGGCCTCCAGGGTTCCCAAGTAAACCTGAATTTTACCCCCATTTTTTTTATTATTGAGGAATTGCATTTATTCTTAATCATGATTTGTGTACCTTGTCTCTGAATAGTAGCATATCTATGCAGGACTCATTATCATTAGCACATAGTTGACTGTGCCTAATCACAGCACTTATACATGAAATACTTCATTGCTATTCTAGCTTGCCTGTGTGAAAAATCATGAATCCATATCCCTGATGTCCAGACCCAGGCAGATGAATCCCTTGACTTCTATGTTGGTTTCTTATTATTTCTTTCACTTAAGAGGAAAATTTCCCAAACACACTTTCTATAACAAGTTGTTTAATTGGTTTTTATTAAATCCCTCTCAGGTCACCAAGCCTCAAGCTTCCTGATTGATTACCACTTTAATGGATCAAGATTGTATTTCTCTTTATAGTCTTCTTTTCGTTTACTTTGGTCATACACAAACTAAACGATGTATGAACACAGAAAGGACCGCTTGCCTTTGCTAAAGCTAACAGCAGCTTCCTCCATGGCCCTCTGCTCTCTGGGTCCTCTCGCCCATCATTTTTGCTTCCCTTGTTTCTGCCTCAGAGCTCAGTGTTCTCAAGACCTCTTTAAAACCCAGCAGCTCCTCTGTATGTCCAAACTTGCTTCCAGATAAACCCTATTGGTGTTTCCTTGTGTGTTCCTCCAGTGGTCCAGAGCATCACACTAACACAGAGACTGAAAGTCAGCCCTGAGATTTAGTTGGGCAGCCTGTGACCTTACCACACCCAACATAAGTGTCCTTGATTTTGAAACCCTGTTTTTGTGTTCTTGAGAAGTATGTTCAAAAATCTTCCAATCACATAATTCAACTGCTATTCTTCAAATAATTCAAAAATTTCTTTGCATGATAAGATTGCAGCAGAGAAACTGAAACAGCAGGAACATTATTGATTCTCGGCTCTAGATTATAACCCATTCACTAAATTTGTCTAACTAAATATCAAGACAGTGAAATTTCCAAACCAAAATTCAATGGAATACAGTATTAATTCTGAAAAAGCAAATCACAAAATAATGAATCTCATATTAAATTATAATCGAGAAGCTTTAATGATTTTTGAGGCTCTTGGAGTGATGATATGACTGAAGATAAGAAACCTTTTAATGGCTAAAACAGAAGCATATCTGAAGAATTCTCCCCATGAGAGCTCATTTATGGGGCCCCCTCACTGTCACTGAAAGCTTTGAAGGCTCTTTGTTTTAAAGTACTAACAACAGTGATAGCAATAATGGCATCTGTAAGTGGGTACCTACTGCATGCCAGGCTCTAGAAGTAGTAATAATTCCTTTATCTTATGTAGTGTTCCCAACAACCCTATGAAGCAGATGCACCAACCTCCTATTTCACAGATCGAGACTGAAGCGGCATCAGATGAATGCCACATGGCCACATAGCTGGCATGCACTGGAACCAGTTTAGCCTAGGAAAACTTTCGTTCGGTGTCCTTCACTGCTGTGCTGGCTCCTCGGAGCAGGAAGCCATTAGCAAGTAGTCACCACACCATAATTTGATTGTTTTAGAGTATAGTATAATTAGTGGCTAACTTATAATAAGTTAGTGGTACTTACCTTTCTCTACCCCAGAGCTGGGCTCAGAGAAACTATAATGCAATCCCAGTATTCTTAACTGACCTAAGGAGATGGGGACCTCAGGACAATGGGTGTGACCAGAGGAGATTCTGCTGTTGGATAAATCTCTTCAGCCACAGGAAAAGATGAGTGGGAGGAACTAGTAGCTTGGAAGAAAATGAGAATGGAAGGATTATATTTTTATCCCTCCTAAACCATTTTGTTGGAAGACAGTGTTGTGACAAATGATATGAGAGAATCAAAGATATAATTTGGGCAAGCCTTGTTAAATTATCATTTTTATAGGGTGAGACTATTACCTTTTTTTTTTAAATCAGCCCTCAATTCATCCCACTTTAAATTTAAAAAGGGGGGTGGGCAAATTGAGCAATGGTATTTGAGAGACCAGCTAAGTGTCTTGAAGGCTCAGACTGTAGGAAAAAGAGAGTGGGCATGCTAGGTAAAAGTGACGTAACACCAGATGGATTTCAAGGTCTTCTGAATGCATCTTCTGTCTTTTTACTTGGAGGTATTTTGAGAACACCCCTTTGTTCTTTTCAGTTCTAATTTTTGAAAATTATATAGACAGCTAGGCAATTCTGTACTGTTCCCTTCAGTTCCCAGAGAATCCTGTCAGCATCCCTATTTTCCTGGATCCCCCTCACTCTCCTACCCACAGGGAGAAATGTCATGACCAAGTATTCCTTCTAGTCGACAACTGTCTGTTGTCTGTGTTGCCATGACACGTTCATTTCCCTGGTTAGTGAATCTAGTCTCCAGATAATTTTTAAAAAGCCTCCTGACTCTCTCTTGTCCCTGGAACAAAATCTAACTCTTCTGATATAATTTACAAAAACCAAAGAACAACAACAAATAAAACCTACCCAAATCCTGTGGTTTCACTCCCTGCCAGCTACACAAAAGGCTTTCGGGCCCCTCTCATCAGACCTTGGCACGGTTTGTTCTTCCTTCCAGGGAAGGATTCCTCACCACCTCTCTTTTCTTTTTATGGAAAGCTGCATGCACACACCCCGCTTTGTCAGAGGTACACTTTCCTTAGGGGATTCTTCACCCTCAGCAGTGGCTTTGTATCTCTCCTTGCTGGATACATGCAGGATATCCCACTTTGCCTGTTCACTTGCACATGCCTGTTCACTTGCCTGGGTTCCTCACTATATGCTTTAGGTTCCTTGAAAGCAGGTACCATGTCTGACTCAGCATTTATCTATTCTCCATACCTAACCTAATACCTGGCATGTAGTAAATAACTCCTTGAGTGACTAAGTGAATGTGACCTGGTGTTACTTTTGCAGTTGATGGGTAAAATTGGTGAGAGACTGAATCTATCTATGAGGCCCAGTGAGTCTCCATCAAGACACAGATGGAAGTCACCAATAACTCTAGTTCAGCGTTCGTGATTCCATGAGGTATGAAGGAAGCAAAAGGAACATGTCTGCCCAAACAGAAATTCTCAAACCCTGACAAAAAAAAGATTGTGTTCATCCTTAGGAACTGAGAGCATATCTGTCTATTAATGGGCTTTAACAGGAAGGCAAAAAGTAAATGCATTTCTTTGCAGCTCATAAGCTCATTAAATAATCAAATAATCATAATCAAATATTCATTTAATTATTATAAATTTCAGTGCTGACTAAATGGGCCTAATGTCTGATCCATAGAAAGACTTGCAATCCCCAGAAATTTGTCTTTAGCTGATCTGACCCACAGATTAGACTATATTTCCAGTATACAGATTCCATATGACAATCATAGCAACTCTCCTGGGATCATATTAATAAAAGCATTAGCAATCATCTGAATTGGATACACTTGTAGATAAGCCATGTTAATTGTTTTTATGCTTAATAAAATAAAAAATCTGCAAAAACATTGTTACCTTTCATATATTAGCTGTGCTTACATATAATAATAATAGCAGAAAGGAATACACATTGGATGAGTTAAAATATAAAATAAAAAATCTGCAAAAACATTGTTACCTTTCATATATTAGCTGTGCTTACATATAATAATAATAGCAGAAAGGAATACACATTGGATGAGTTGAAATACAATGTAAACCTCCAGTGAATATGAATTAAAGCATAAAAGTTTGAGAAGTTTTATCTGATGGTTTGATCCATGAAGAATTATCCCATTATGCAATAGTATTTGCTCTGAAAACAAAATAAATAGAAGGCATAGCAACCTATGACTTGACGCTTAAAAGCCAAGAGCATTTACAAGAACAAACTCATGGGTTCTCCAGTGTGTTTAGGATCATATAGAGAGTGTGTACTCAATGAGAAGACTGAAAAGCAGGAGAGTTTCTCTGACCTCGAAAGCATCTAAAGATTTTTAAGCTGGGAAAACTTTAAATTAAATGACACATTCTGGGGAGCCTTTTAAGAACAATCACATGTAAGCTCGGGTTTTAGCATATCTGAGGCACTTCCTCTCACACCAGAGATCTGGTTCGTAAAACGGACAGGAGTAAAACAAGATATCCATCAGCTCTCTTCTGCCAATGTGAGACTCACACTGGGAGGTAACTGCCATTTAGTGGATTCCTAGGTGTTCATATTCGCTGGGGACGAAGAAGAGTTTCCCTGACCTGAGGGAAATGATGGAGTAGTGACATTGTTCGTCTGCCTATGCTCCAGTTATCCGACTGTCTGCATGTGTCACTGGACGTTGTAGTGTTTCTGTGTCCTTTAGAGGTAGTTCCAGAACACATTAGATTATAACTAAAGGAACTCAATAGGTCAGCCACAGCAAAGAGACAGTTCTAGGTCTGGCATGCCCCTTTTTTGGGGGGTGGGGACACAGGCAATTTGTTGAGGGTTATTTTGAAGGTTATGTTGTTTTGTTTTATGTTCTTTCGAGACAAGGTCTTGCTATGTAGTCCAGGCTGATTTCAGACTCACCATCCTCTTGGCCCTGCTTCCTGAGTACGTGCAATTGCAAGTGTGTGCCTCCACACCCAGCCTAGAAAACAAAGGCTCTGCTCAAGTGTGCACCATTCACTACACCCCAGAATCACACAGGAAGACTTGTCACTGTTTGTGCAGATTCTAGCAGGTTGCTCGCTGTGACTATAGACTGAAGCTCTGTGAAATAGCAAGATTTAATAAATTTTACAACTATATAAATGTCGTTATAAATGTGTACTTATAAATAAATAAATTTAATAACAGGAAATTGCTATTTTAAGTTTTGTAGCTGAATGATAGACATAGGCTCCTTTTCCCTGGATTCTATTATAGAAATGTATCTCTACAAAGGAGAATGCAGTCTATCCATTTGTTACAGGTTTTCTTAATTACAAATCGAAGTGAAGGTAAAAAGCCTGTTTTCCTATTTGTTTAGTAGATTTGCTGCCCCCTGCTGTTCATAGTGTTTTGAAGCTCCCCACCCCCCCTCCAAAGCTTCTAGCTTCCCCCAGCAAAACAAAACACTGTAGCTGAAAGCATAGGTTTGGGTTTTTGTTGTTGTTGTTGTTTTGGTTTTTCCAGACAGGGTTTCTCTGTGTAGATTTGTGCCTTTCCTGGAACTCACTCTGTGGCCCAGCAGAGGTTTTAAGTCGAGAGCTCACAGCCACTAAGTACACAGTATTAGGAACTATGGAGTTTGGGCGTTCAGAGGTCTCTTTCCTGTGAAGGAAATAGTACACCCCTCTGAACAGCACAAAGTTACTGGTAAATTCTCTCCAACGTTACCTGTTCAAAGATAAAGGCTCCAGCAAAGTTATGCCATGAAGCAATTACACACTGCAACTGACATCTTCTAAATAATTGGGGGAAAGTAACACTTTATCACCAACAAAATCTTAACACTCATAACTACTGAATCAAATTTTTTAATTCAATGGAAAATAGTTATTGTAATTTTTTTTTAAATTCAATGGGAATAGATTACTGGAAGATGTTATTTCTACAGATTGCACTGTTAACTATAAAGTGGAAACCAGCAGTAATATTGACATAAATTGGGCTAAATATCTTGTAGCTGGAAGTTTTCCTGTGTCCTGCCCAGTCCCGCAGCTGGCTTATATTAACTACAAAACTGCATGGCCTAATAGCTCAAGCTTCTTGCTAGCTAGCTCTCACAACTTAACTCAGCCCATTTCTATTTATCTATGCATCGCCATGTGGCTTCGTAGTGTTACATGTTCTCTCACATCTTGCTTCTCCTGGCAGCAGCTCACAGTGTCTCCTAACTACACCCTTCTTTATCTCCATCTCCAGTTTGAATGTACTGCCTAACCTTATTCTGCCTCGCCATTGGCCAAACGACTTTATTATCAACCAGTGAGAGTAACACATATTCACAGCATACAGAAAGACATCCCACAGCAATATCTCAAGCGTTTCTGCAGCATTTTCTCTTTCTAATGGAATAACCTCTTCAATTGTTATTTATGGCAAAAAAAAAAAACCCTCATAACCAAAAGTAAAATAATACTAAAAAGACAGTTTCTATGCTTGACCGACAGTGTAGTATTTTGTGTACACATGCATTCCTTCATGTGCCCATCGAGATACCCACATGGGGATACCATCAACCACTGTACAAGAGTGCTGCAGTGGAGTGTTATTCCAGCATCAGTCCCAAGCATATGCCAGGGTTACTCTGCAGTCATTCTAATCACTGCCACTACAGATAATGCATAAGCTTGGCCTCTGCACTATTTTGTTATGATGCCTCAAACTTTTCTATCATTGTGTGTAGTTACTATAATATCACCATCTTCTTTCATAAAAAATATTAAAATAAAGCTATACCACTGAAAATGTTGTGGGAATAATGTATCATTCACTGTAGACCAAATGGCATTAATAAAACCACTGTAATATATTGACAGTGAAACACTACAATAAGCTCATGACAGAATGGTGGCCTTTTTTGGAATGCTGAATATTTCAACGCCCCCAGCACTATAGGGTTATAGAGCTACTCAGTGGGAATCTTTGAGATCCGTAAGTATTCTAAGAATAATATAGGATTGGAGTAGTGAGTGTTTAGAAGCCCTCCTGGATGGTAGTGTGGGTATCAGAGCTTTTCTCTTGGCTGGAGTGAATGGCTTTTAGGGGATCAAAAAACTTAGAATTTTTTCTGACTTGATGTATTGTACTATGCAACTATACACATTTAATTAGGGACATGAGATATATCAAAGAGGTAGTAGTGCACATATATGGTACTTCAAGTGCCATTTTATAGAAAAGCAACCAGCATGACATCATCTAGCGGGTATGTATTGTAAAATAAACATTGAGGGTATCACTGGGTTGAGGAAAGGCTGAATGTATATGTTCTATTGCTCAAGTAATTGTATTTGTTTTTCTCAACTGTTTTATGTTGACACCCCTGGCATTTCTATCTTAAACACAACATTCACAAACCACCTGAGAGGCAAGTCAATTAGACTCCACGCCCTCCCTCTCCTTCCTTCCCTACTATGAAAAGCCTGGTTCTACCCACACCCTCCTTTCGCTCCAAGTCATCATGAGGAGATGGAATCACAAAATGAGATATATCTTCACTTTTGGAGAGACTTGTGACCTTGAGATCTTTGCTATGGTGGGCCATTTTTAAGGACTCTGCTCCCCGCAGTCAGCCCAGGCATAGTCCCTTCCTGAAATATTAGTCTCTAGGACTAATGCCAGCTGGTGTCCCCCTTCAGGTTCCATCAAGAGCCCCTGTCTAACGAACCAGTGTTTCCTCACCCCTCTCTCTTACAGCCCCCTCTCCCAACAACTCCGACACCTGTTCCCCGGGAACCCAGCCGGAAACCTCTCTCGGTGTCGCCCTCAACAGATGGCCTGCGTAGCCCTTCCCCTCCGCCCCGGAGCTGTGTCCCCGCACCCCGTCAGAGTCCGAGCGCCCCAGCTCTCTCTCCCACCCGGGTGAGCTCCTTCCTTCTTCACCCTCTCTCATGCTGTGGGGAAGCAGAGCTCAGCCTGCGTTCCGAGGCTAAGGCATGGTCAGATCCCGTCTCTGCTGGGGTTCTTCCTGCTCCTGGACCCCCCGCCTTTCCACCCTCATCCCCACCATTCCATGCTCCAGCCCGCCCCATCTGCAATATCTGCATACTGCAGACCACTGCGGCCGCTGCTGGTTGCCAGTTAACTTCAGGGACAGCAGACTGACCAATCCAGGAGAGCCCCTTGGTTCCTCGTTTGGACCTGTCTTCATAGTCTGGCCTGCCATTCTTTCTGTATTGTCACTACCAGGATAATTTCCCTAGTTCATGCATCAGGCTAAAACGTTAGCGATGGCGGCGACAGGGACCCCAGGGATGCCACGGACCCTCATTTTCATACCCTCATTTTGCTCATGGTATCTTACTTTCTCCGCTCTGTCCTGCTGAGGTTTGTTGGACGAGTCCGATGCATGTTTGCGTGTGGATGCGCGTGTGTTTTCATACCACACGGCGTTTTCCCTCACTTCGCTCAGTGTGCCTTTTCCTTCCCTTTTCCTTCACATCTGCTCTAGACTGGTCGCATAAATCCAGATGACATAGATTTAGAAAATGAGCCCTGGTATAAATTCTTTTCAGAGCTGGAGTTTGGACGTCCGGTAAGTGAGGCTAGACAATTACTATTAGACAAATAGGAGGATGTTGTTTGATTTCTGAAGCATATTCTTGTCAGAAGGGAGACGTGTCATGTCGAGAACAAAAAGCTGGATGGATTAAAATACATGTGCTCCAGCTTTGTGCAAATTCGCTTTGGTGCCAAAATGCCTAAATGTGTTCATTCGCTTCCCGTATGTTTTCTCCTAATCACGCATTAGAATCACATCCAGTTAACTGCGAATCTATCATGTTGAAGTAGCTTAGGGGAGAGCTGTATTGTGTACAGTGCATTTTGGTCTAGTTGAACAGTAACTAGTACCTTGCCATCTACAAGAAGACTGTACTACAGTTCTTGTTTGCTGAGGAATTTTCAAGCCACCACAGAGCGCTTGGTTCCCAAGCCAATGACTTGAGTCTTCCTGATGCAACAATTCTAGTAACAAGAAAACAGACCAGAAAGGTCAAGGAATTTGTCCAAAATTGTCAGAAATTAAACCTAGGCTTTTTATACAACAAGAAAAATCTTTGGGCAGTTACAACTATAATGTATTGCCAGAATATTCCCACTGTAAATATTCCCACTGTAAAATGATTCTTTGAATAGGAGAGATGTAACAAGGAGAGAATTAAGAAGCCTTATGGACCTTGATTTGTAGTTTTGCTCATGAGCCACCAACAGATCTCTCATCACCAGACTCCCATATCGAAAGCCTCTAGTTTGGCCCTCATGGGGTCTGATTGATCTGTTTGGGACATGGTCAACTCAGGCTTCTCATAACTTCCTTTAACTATTGATTCTCTATTGAGGAATTGTTTGTGGGTTTCATGTTTTCTGTAACATGCATTTTTACAAACCCTAAACTATTGAGCATGTCACTTACTCTGCCCAACAATTTGATAAGAACTCAGATTTGTTCTTTCTCCATGTCACATAAGGACTTATAAAGATGCTGATCACATATTCCTTACTGGATGGCTGTGAGAGCCCTTTTTATGCATTACAATGTAGTCTTGGTTAGCCTCATTATATGTTTTATTGAACTGAATCAAATGTGACTGTAAATGAATATTAAACAAAATTTCCTGGCATTTCTATTACCTAATAAGAGGATTGTTTCCTCCTATTTTTTTTCTGGCATCTCCTCTTATTAAAATGTATTTTATTTCATTGGGAAAATGCTCTCTTGTTTTGCTCTATGTATTTGCTATAATTGGGTAGAGTTTCCAGAGAATGTACCGATTTCTGTGTTGAGCCCAAATTACCAGCACTTTTTTCTGCAACCCTCCTCAGCCACACAGGGACACCCACCTGCATGCTCTCCACCTACTCCTCCGATGTTTCCTTAATAGACCTTGCAATCTGCTGTGGCCAAAGACTGGGAGTGCTAATTTGGATTTGACGAATTAAGTTTACAAATCTACTAATTGAACACAAGCAGCTTTGCACAGTGCTTGGGAATATTTGCAGACATTGCACTCTTCCTCTGAGGCTGCCACTTTGTCCATTCACGACACTCTTTCTGTGTAGCTGATGCTCGATTTCTAACTGTTGTCACCTTTTCCACATGTTCATTACTCGCTGCCATTGACTCTCCTCCATCCCATCTCTCCACTTCTGCTTCTGTGGTGCATCTACACCCAGCCTCCTAAAAAGGCTCTGGATTATGTTCAAGATCATTCTTCCGGTGTTTCCAATGAGGTAAAGACAAATTCTTCTCTCCTTCCACATTTCCTGCTTTGTGACTGTCAGTCTGAACATATGTGTTTTTAAGAGTTTCCTGTATTGTTCAAGCTGGTTTTGAAAAACTCTTTGTATCACTGTGTTGCATGTAGCATTATCTAGACAGTACAAAAGGGTTGGCTATTTCTGAGTTCCAGGTAATGATTGTTTTCTAACTGTTACTTCCAGTTAAAATATTCAGCAGCATGCAAATAAAAAACCCAACTACTGAACTTCAGCATGTATTAACTGCCCACTTTCATAAACTGGGAAAAGTACTACTGGAAGGCATCTAGAAGGCAATTTTTCATTGTGCTTAGAGGTACAGACTCAGAGTTGAGGTTCTTGGGCCGTGGAGATGGCTCATTAGGTCAAAGCATTGTCTGTGACAGTTCAAGGGTCTGACTTCCACCCTGGAACCCACCCACTGTGCATGAAGAGAGCATGCCCTCACATGCCGTGGTGAGTGTGCTGCACCCACACAGACAGGATAATATACTTTTTAAAATAACGTTTTGATTCTTATACAATCAGATACTTATTCCTTATATTTTTCTAAGTGTTGTTAATCTTTCGTTTTACTAAATGCTTGCAACTTGTGGCTGTTTCCATCAGTCAAGACTAGAGATGACAAATACCTGGAATGTGCGTCCCAGTTTCCCAGTTCCACAGCCTCTTTTGACAGGCATCGCCCACTCTTGATATTGGAACTCAGGCAGCCACAGCAGCAGATAGTCACTGCCATGTGCAATAAAACTTAGTTGAGGTCTCTGCTGAAGGTGCTATGGGTGGGGCTGGAGAGGTGACTTGGTGGTTTAAGAGCACTTGCTACTCCTGCAGAGGGCCTGGCTTTAGTTCCCAGCACCTACATGGCAGCTCACCACCATCCGCAACTCCATTTGTAACACCCTCCTCTCGCCTCATCAGCACCACCATACACATGGCTCACAGGCATGCAGGCAGGCAAAACACTCATGAACTAAAACTAAGTAAATCTTTTTAAAAAAAAAAATAATAAAGATGCTTATGAAAATCAGCCAATCGGCTAGGTGAAGAATGTATGTCAGGCCACGTAAATTTTAACCTGGATAAGGAAAAGATAGTATGGAAAGGAACAGAAAGGATCCTAAGCCAAACTTTGCCCTCTACAAAGTAACCAGAAGGCTATAGTGAGAAGCACTTGGAAGACACAAGCAGATATGTCATCGTTAACTATCAGGCAGATAAAAGCCTCCTGAGGGCACTCTCGGAAGTAGCCAGGCAGGAGAGAAGCACACAGAATCAACTGATTTTGTCCCAGCCGTTGCTGTGTATTCTTAAGTGAATGCAACGCTGAATAAATATCTTACTATCACTGCAAAGCCCTCACTCAAGCAATGTGCAAGGTAAGAGCCAAGAACTCGTGCTAAGGATGGTACTCCTGATACACAGCGGGGACAACAGATTGCAGGCATGGAGTTCGAAAGGGAAATACTCAAGTTTCCAAAGGTTTAATCTGCAACTCCACATTATAGGTCATCTAATTAGCATCATGGTGTGTGTTAAAACACAGAAGTGACCGAAAAAAAATTTTATCAAATGAAAAGTAAAGTCTAGTAATCAGGAACTTTTTGAGGTATTGAATTCAGTAATTTTTCAAGACTCATGTTTTGTAGCCAAGCCTGCCCTCTAAAGAGAATCAAATAAAACCAACAGTTCTATTCTGTATGTTTTATCATTGCGGCATATGGACAACCTAAGAATTTATTTTGATATTCGATTCAATCAAATATTTTTCTTGTGCTCTCCGCACCAAAACTATGCTACTGTGTTGATGAACTTGTTAGACTTATAATCCATCGGGGGGGGGGATATCTTTATCATATTGGGTACTTGTTATTGTTGTTGTTGTTGATTGAGACAGGGCAGGGTTTCTCTTTATAGCCCTGGTTGTCCTGGAATTCACTCTGTAGACTATGTTGGCTTTGAACTCAGAGATCTGCCTGCCTCTGCTTCCTATAAGTACTGAGATCAAAGGCATGTACCACCACCACCAGGCTCCATTTTTTTTTTTTTTTAGTTCAGTGTGAGACTGATGTGTTTAGATAAATGAATCAACATTTCGTAAATATTCCCCAGATATTTTGATCAGGTACTTCTGGATTTTGTTAAAGTAGTTGGCTCATTGATTTTGAAACAGAACTTAGAAAACATTATATTCAACTCGTTGGATTTCTAGTTAAGAAAAGTGGAATGGAATGGAATAACTTTAAGGAACATATCCAAAGTTGCCTACTAAGATGGCTGTCAAGAGAATAAATCACCAATTGCTCATCCTTCATTTCAAAACTATTTCCTTTGTACCACACTTTTTACCATCCCCAGGAGATGTTTTTAAAACTTGGCTCTTCTAGAAACTATTTTTTAATTATTGAGTTTGTATAAAATGGGTTCTAGGAATTAACAATGCACAGTAATTGCTGAGCACAGAGATGGGAAAAATTTAATTTAATGTACTTTTTATGTTATGGTAGTGACCAAAATACTACATTAAAAAAGCAGGTTGATAGCAGTAAAACTATGTGTTCTTATCTTTTGGGGACTGAGAGACATAAGTAACTTTAATAGCATAGTTAACTAGGGTATTAATTTAAGAACATGGCCTTTCAGAGTTTAAAAAAATATACTCCCATAAGATATTTTGATTCCGTCTTTAATAACATTTATATGACATTTCTAGTAAAAACTGTAATTCTTAGATAATACCTCAACTATCATTGATCAAGTACCTGGTTTTTTCGAGCATATGTTACAAATGACATAGTTTTTTAAATCAAATATAACTGAGACATTTGTTTGCGAATGTCAGAATGAAACCTATGCTTTGCTAATTTGAAACAAATTTTTAAAAAGAATACTTAAGAACTTGTTAGCAACATTTGATCAATAATTTCTTAGCAGAAAGAATGATTTAATGTCTGCATCCTGTGTTAAAATAGTGATCTTTGTAAATGATGAATAGACTTTGTTCGGTAAAATGGACTAGTTCTTTTCTTGGGACTCTTTTTTTTTTTCAGCTGAGTGTCATAATTATTGTACAAGATTTTGCCTTAATTATTAATCTAATTTTTTTATTATTACCTTATAATTGAAAACTGAAATTTCTCTTATGATACATAAAATCAAAGCATTTCTTTTTGGGAAGAATTTTTTAGCAAGATGGCTCAGCTGTGACCTCAATTTTATCCCAAAACCCATATTGTATAAGGGGAGAATTGATTCCCTTACATTCTGACCTCCACACATATACCATGGTACACACACACACACACACACACACACACACACACACACACACACAACAAACACATACACACTAAATGTTTTTTAAAAAACATTTTTAACTTACTTAGATTATGAAAAACAGAACAAAGAAGAATGATTACAGTTTGTCTTAACTCAGAAACATACTTAATCAGTTCTAATACAGTGTTTTATTTCATATAACAGAATTATCCAAGCTTATCAAAACTGGGGGTTCATATTTCTGATCTTGTTAGGAATATTCTGAGTGCATCCTGAATTTGACCCTTTTAGTGGCCAACTATGTGTCAGGCTGTCCCATAAAACCTGTGACCCACAGGTAACGCTACTCTGAGGCTCTCTGATATCACTCCTGCAAACACGCAGAATTATCTAATATTATTTTACTTGTTTTCTTTCTTCCTTACTATGTTTTCCTTACTTTCTACTATCCAATTCAGACAAATTCAAATAATTATGTAAACTGAGCAACATGGTAGAACAGTTTTCTACTTTCATATTTGTTGAGAACATAGGAACCTAAGAATTTCCTAAAAAGTACAAATATTAAATATGCTTTCCCTGTCCAAAATGAGGAAGGAATGTTTTCATGACAACAGATCCTTTGTTTTATTATGGATAAGATTCCATTCTCAATCAGTAATATGGAATTAAAGCAAAATATTACGTATGAGGTTTGTCAGGCTGGACTATATAAAAATCATAAAGTTATAATCTAGTGTTTTAATTGGGAAAGTGGTAGTATTTACCAGTTAATAGAAAAGAATAGTAGGAATCACTTATAAAGTGAGATTGTCATTTCATCTAAGTAGGTTTTTATTATTCTGATAAAAAAATTCTCCATATAGGAATTTAAGGTAAGAGTTATCAACTCTTGCCCTTATGGTTGACAATTTTAGACCTTCATATAAACATTTTCAAAATACAATTTCCATTTTTCAACAAACCAAAGTTCATCTATGATGATGATTGAGCAATAAATATCTCCAAAGCCAAAGGTATATTTCACGAGGAATTGGTTTGCTATGAGTGTAGAGATCACAACACAGCGGCTTCTACCTTGCAGTGTCCCCTCAGAAACTCAATACCAGTCCTCTCCTGTAATCTAGATTATTTCAGCAAGTGTCCCAGAAACAGCCATGTACCATAAAAACTTTATCTACCGCTTTTGTGTGGTACCAGTTTCAGTGTGCTGTTCTTAATGAGAGGTGTAAAGCACACCATTTAAAGGAGTGTATCTTGATTCATTTGGTCATTTATTTTCAATTAATTTCCAACTCAAATTGTTCAGGATTTATAGATCTGTACCTAGCTGAAGTCCCAGGTGATTTAGATTAATTTCAAATCAAATTCTGTGTGTTTTATGAAATAATGTGTGTTTACAGAGGAAAGACATTCAAGTTCCACTTATATGGTATATTTTCAAGATAACACCTGGCAATAACAATGAAATTTATAAAGAACTTTATGTTTTTATCAGGATTTAATGATGACTGCAAATATTTTCTTACAAATAAAGCCAGCCTTTTATAGAGGAAGCTCCTACTTAGCAGTTGTTGAGAGCGTGATGTTAATGCTAAAGATAATTAGCTCTTCATTCAGTCCAGTCTTCCTGATGATAATGTTACTGGTTTGTTTCTTCTTCTTCCTGAGGAAATAAATGGCTTGGTTGTGTTACATCACAGAATGCAGTGTAGTTTGTTAAAAGGGAACTCAAAGACATGTTGCCTTTCTGGAAAGACATTTTTGTAATCACAACAAATGATTCTTTTGATCACAATATTTAGACTCTAAATCTTAGAGTATCCTTTTTAGAATGCAGAACTCAATGATGACAAATAAATGAAATTTTGCTATGGTAATTATTTTCATGGAGACTGCTTTTCTATCTTTACAGGCCTCCATCTACCAACCCTCCATTGACAGAAGCCTGGAAAGACCCAGTAGGTAAGGATCTCATGACATTACACTAACAAAATATCCTATGCCAGCATTTGCTTCCTCAATAGTAATCTTCGTTAGTGAACTACTGGTGCAAATCACATAACTCTCTTTCTTATTTTAAGTACCAGACCTCATATTCGATTTATACGTTGGCATATCATATTATATGACTGCATGCAAGAATTTACTAAAACTCGAAAATGTAATTCTGGATTTCTTCACTAGGGTCAGTTCTTCCCACTGCGGCCTTTGCATCCTGTGTCTTCTTTCATTCCATTGAGGGTTGAAAATATTCTCAATGTTGGTTTAGAAACATTTTATAAATTAGAAGCTACTGATAAGTGTTAATTACACTTGATCACACAAATAAATGTTTTCACTACATTTCAAGGCATCCCAAGTCCATACATATTCAATCCACAGACAACATGATGAGTTAAAAATTAGTCACCAACTTGCCTTTGAAGACACTAATGCTTAAGCTCAGCAACTTACAGAGTTTAGAAAGGAGAGAGAGGGAAAATAGAGTGAAACAGGTTAACTTGTCACCACTAGTCACAACTGTCCTCAGATCCAACCAATCTAAGCTCTGTTCATAGGTTTTAAATATACTTAATTGAAACTATCACCAAAATTCAGATGTAGTTCAATAGCAGTTAATATAACAGTCATGGTATACCATCAACAAACAGTTGTATAATGTTACTTTGCCTTTGCACAAGTTTGTGTCAACCTAAGTAGAAACGCTTGTGACTTAGGTAAATTGGAATTTTGAGTGCTTCCCAACTGCACTAATATTACAAAGAGAGGCATTCCTCCACTCCCTCCACTGTTATATTTTTACATCTATGTGTGTGTCTAAAATGTTTGAAGTGCTTAAATTCTGGAACTTGAGTCTGACCTTAAGGTTGCTATCAAGACATAGAGCCTTACACAGCAGGATATTTCGTAGGAGAAAAAGTACAAGGCACGTTCATGATGGATGCATTTGCATTTCATTACGACTAACAACCCCTAAATTATGTCACAGATATCATGAACCCTACATATAGAAGATAGATTTTGAGAGATGATATCCAGATAGCGTCATTAGCTGTTACACATGTCCATAGATGATATAAAGAGAAATATGCTCAAGAAGAAAAAAACGGGCATAGAAGAGCTCTCTGCTCAATTGACTGTTGATCTCTGTAGAGGACTAAGGTCCTAAGACTCACCAAGGATACTAAAATCTACTGGCTCACAAGTGTCTTATATAAATGACATAATATTTCTACCACCTGGCCGTGGTGGTGCACACCTGTAATTCCAGCACTCAGGAGGCAGAGGCAGGCAGATCTGTGAGTTCCAGGACAGCCAAGGCTACACAAAGAAACCCTGTCTCAAAAACAAAATACAAAAAAAAATTATACATAACCTACTCATGGCCTCCTATATACTCTGAAATATGTATAATGCCTCATGCAACACAAATGCTATCAAAAAGAATTATTGGGACTAGAGAAAGGACTCCATGGATAAGAGCACTGGCTGCTCTTGAAGAGATCCCAGGATCAGTTCTCCAGCCCCCACATGACAGTTCACAACCATTTGTAATTGTAGTTCCAGGGGACCCTGTATCCTCTTCTGCCTCCACGGGCACTGGGCACTGGATGTGGTACACAGACATATATGTAGACAAAACACTCATACACATAAAATAAAAATGAGTTCAGTAAGTGTTTATTATAATGGCTCACATGGGGAATAAAAACACAGTTTGTACATGTTCAGTAGTAATCCAATTCCTAATATTTCCAGTGCATAGTTGGCTGAACCTATGGATATGAAGAGCCTGTATAGTCCAGCCAGATGTTCTGTAACTTGAAACTTCCCTTTAAAAATGAGATGTTTTAAAAGATGAATCTAAAGACAGTATTTTGAACGTGGAGGAATGACTTTCTCATGGTGCAGTTTTGTGGGTAGAAGGTTAGGGGTTCTGCCATTATCTAACGTAATCATCAGGCTTCTTGTGCATGTGTTAACCTCTTCCAATCAAAGTGACACTGATTCCCTCCGTCAGCTCTGCAAGTATGGCTGGTGACTTCAGGAAACGGAGGAAGAGCGAGCCTGCAGTGGGCCCACCCAGAGGCTTGGGGGATCAGAGTGTGAGCAGGGTCAGCCCTGGCCGGGCAGACCTCCCAGGATCGAACTCCACATTTACGAAGTCTTTCATTAGTTCCTCTCCTTCCTCTCCCTCAAGAGCCCAAGGTGAGTCACAATTAATGAACATTCTCACTAGTTCACAGTTTAGGCTGGAGTATGGGGGAAGGCCCATCTCACGATCACGACTTAGGCTGGCTTTGCTTGTGGTGGTGTCCCTGAAGCAAATACAATTCCCCAGCAGAGCCATTGCTCCTACCCAATCCAATTCAAGCTGGCAAGCCATTTAAGAGTCTTAAAGAACGCAGACTAACATGTTTTGTTACTATTTTCTCAAAAATATATTGCATTTATTATTTTTTTAGACACAAAGTATTATAATTTGTTGTCATAGTTACAGAAATGGCATTTATAGGCTTTTACGTAGGCAAATTTTCTAATGTTATTACAGACAACTAATTAAATTTGTAGAATAAGAATTATAAATAGCAGCAGAAAAAAATATCACTTAAAACATGCAATGGGGTACTTTAAATTCTGGATTAGAAAATAGTTTACTTAAGTCATGCTTTTAGTCATTTACTCTGTTTTGTTCAACCTTTATTTGTATGGTAGAGTATCCCATTCTACCATGTAACACAGTGGTGCATAACAGTTTACAATAAGTACACACTGGCTTGCAGGTACAAATACCAAATTTAGCAATGAGGGGCCTTAGTGAGATGACTCAGTTGGTAATGGCGCTTGCCACCAAGCCGGTCAACGTGAGTGTGATCACCGTGGTTCATATAGTAAAAGGAGACAATGGACTCCCACAAGTTGTTGTCTGACCTCTACTTGCGTGTACACATACATGAAAGAGAAAGAAGGAGGGAGGGAGGGAGGGAGGGAGAGAGGGAGGAAGGAAGGAAGGAAGGAAGGAAGGAAGGAAGGAAGGAAGGAAGGAAGGAAGGAAGGCTGGCCACTTTTTTAGATGGCCTTCTCCTCTTTGGAAATGCAGTAAGCTGAGCATTGAAGGGACAGAGTTGCTCATTTGGGTCTCTGGTAGATTACTTGGGTCATTTTTTTACCTCTTTTAACCATAATCTATTAGCATGCCAAATTTGGGCCCCCACAATTCTCTCCAGTCTTTGAGAGTTAAAATAGAAGAGAATGAGTTTTCAAAGCATGTAAAGAAAATGAGTTTCAACAGAAGTGTCCATGATGTAGGACAGAGTGGGGTACACCTAACAACTATATGCATTAAAACTGGCCCCATGCCATGGTTTAAGCAAAGCGGTAGCTAGTATACGAACAACAGACTGTTTATGATGACTGGTCTCTGTGGAGGAGGATGGCTGGGCTGTCGAAGACCTAACTAACTCTCAGAAAGTAATTTCCTCATTAACTGACGCGCCTTCATCATATTCTACTCATCTACACAGCAAATACCCTAAGTAACAAGTCAGTTAATGAAATGCCACAGGTCCATCATTCTCGGGTACAATTCAAAATGTAAAAGGACCCTGATAAACTTAAGTATTTTTCTTACCATAGAGAATTAAATCAAGTTCCTTTCCCAAGCATTGCATATCAACTGAATGAATTACCAGTTTTTGGAGAATTCAGGGGAGGTTGTAATTTGTAAATTGTTGATAGAGAGAGCCACACTGTTAATAGGTCAGAGTCGTGGCTGGGCATGCCTTGTTGCCCCCCCCCCCAAAAAAAAACCATTGAATTATGCAGTAGAAATGTGTTAGTTACATCGAGTGTATTTTATGTGTGGTTTTGCTTACTGTAGTATCTGCAAAGTTGCACTGAAAAAATACGATCTTGTACTAGCATCAAAAATTTAACCTCTTTAATGGAAGCTATGTCTGTGTCATAGATACCTAGAGTAAGCCACACTAACTGCCTTCTCCTTGCTGTGCTAATACTGACATGCTCTCCTTTCCCTGTGAACCTTTTAACTTCTCCAAATGTCTTTCTCCTGCCATGCTGCTCTGGATTGAAAGGTGGGGATGATGGCAAAATGTGCCCATCCCTTTGCGGTTACTCGGGGCTCAATGGCGCCACCTCTAGTGAGTTAGAGTACTGTAGCGCTTATAGACAGCACTTGGATGTCCCCCGGGACTCTCAAAGGGCCATCGCCTTCAAGAACGGCTGGCAGATGGCCCGGCAAAATGCAGAGATCTGGAGCAGCACTGAAGAGACCGTGTCCCCAAAAATCAAGTCGCGGAGCTGTGATGATCTCCTGAATGACGACTGCGACAGCTTCCCAGATCCTAAAGCCAAGTCAGAAAGCATGGGTTCTCTGTTATGTGAAGACGACTCCAAAGAGAGCTGCTCCATGGCATGGACTTCCCCCTACATCCAGGACGTGTGCGGTAACAGCAAATCTAGAATCAAACACAGGTCAGCCCATAATGCCCCGGGCTTCCTCAAAATGTACAAGAAGATGCACCGCATCAACCGCAAGGATTTGATGAACTCGGAGGTAATTTGCTCCGTGAAGTCCAGGATCCTGCAGTATGAGAAGGAACAGCAGCACCGGGGTCTGCTCCATGGATGGAGCCAGTCTTCCACTGAGGAGGTGCCCCGGGACATGGTACCCACGCGCATTTCGGAATTTGAAAAGCTGATACAGAAGTCCAAGTCCATGCCCAATCTAGGGGATGAGATGCTATCTCCTGTCACTCTAGAACCCCAACAAAACGGTCTGTGTCCCAAGAGGCGATTTTCTATTGAGTCTCTGCTGGAGGAAGAAACTCAGGGTAGACAGCCTTCTCAGGGTCAGCGGAACTGCAAGTCTAAAACCCTGGTGCCCATCCACATTGAAGTCACCAGTGATGAGCAGCCCAGAACACATATGGAGTTTTCCGACAGTGACCAAGATGGCGTCGTGTCTGACCACAGCGACTACGTTCATGTAGAAGGGTCATCCTTTTGCAGTGAAAGTGACTTTGACCATTTTTCATTCACATCCTCTGAAAGTTTCTATGGATCCAGTCATCACCACCACCACCATCACCACCACCATCACCGACACCTCATCAGTTCTTGCAAAGGCCGATGCCCAGCCTCTTACACTCGATTTACCACAATGTTAAAACATGAAAGAGCTAAACATGAAAATATTGACCATCCCAGAAGGCAAGAAATGGACCCCAGCCTATCTAAACTTGCATTTCTAGTCAGCCCGGTGCCTTTCCGACGGAAAAAGAATTTGACTCCCAGAAAACAGACTGAACAGGCAAAATGCAAAGCCTCTGTAGTTGAGGCTCTGGACACTGCCCTTAAAGACATCTGTGACCAAATAAAAGCTGAGAAAAGGAGAGGGAGCCTGCCAGACAACAGTATATTGCATAGGCTTATCAGTGAACTGTTGCCAGAGATTCCGGAAAGGAATTCATCCCTTAATGCTCTGAAAAGGAGCCCCATGCACCAGCCTTTCCACACACTGCCTACAGATGGTGCTATTCATTGTCCATTGTACCAAAACGATTGTGGGAGGGTGCCTCACAGTGCCTCTTTCCCAGACGTGGACACAGCCAACAACAGCTACCACGCACAGGACTACGGTAGTACCCTGAGTCTCCAAGGTGGACCAACTTTTCTTTCTTTTTCCCTTGTGGTTCAGCTGCCATCCTCCCCCTCATTCATTACTTCCATCCTGCATCTCATCATCGCTCCTGAGCTGGGAGACCACTTGACAGTCATTATGTGTGGCAAAGCCAACCTGTGTTGTGCAGACATGTCTGACTCGGTAGTTCTCATTTGCTTGTGTGGTATCTGACGTCCATGTGTTGACTGAAAGTAATCATCAACTCCTAAGCATTTACTCCCTTGAAAAGAAAAGAAACCCAAATTTGTCACTAAATATTAGGGCTAAAACAAGTAGGACACTGAGAAGACAAATGAACATCATTAGTGCCTACGTTTGTTTGCACTGATGCTAGGCAGCATGCTTCATAAACAGGAGATTAGAATGTAAAAACTTTCTGCTGTTAAAAAAAACAGCAAGTTCTATCCGGACATTTTCAGATTAAGATGTGTCAGAATCCAAGTTTCTAACAAAATAGCCATTTCCTTCAGTTATCTAATATCCTGAAGGAATCATCACTCGATTTCAAAAGAATATATCAAGATAAAAACTATAATTCAGTATCTGCATCCCTAAGATATTTTTTGATTCATTGTGAAACAAAGTCAGTAGTTTCACAGCCTTTTCCTTGATTTCTATATTAATGTTAGAACATTGTACCTGTTCAAAAAATCTGTCCTCTCAACATATATACAAATATATGTATATATTTGCATATATATATGAGAGAGAGAGAGAGAGAGCGCTGTAGCTAGAAGCAACATCTAATTGAACCCCCCTAACTCAATGGATGAGAATTACTGTAAGTGCTGTTTTGCAATTGAGAAATGGAGGGACAAAAGAGCTAATGTTTCCAGTGTTACACAGATTACAGTAACGGCGGGAGAATTCAAGGCCCTACTAACTAAAAATGTATAATATAAAGTATAATTTCTAAGGGCAAAAGGAAACCAAATTGTTAATAACTACTGGACAATTTTACTTATTAGTATTTACCTTCACTTTAATTTCAACTGGACAACATGCTGGAAAACAATCAATTAAAATAAGTAGGGGCTGGAGCAAGGGCTCAGTGGTTAGGAACCCTTACTCCTTCCTCTTCCAGCGGACCCAGGTTCCATTCCCAGGGTGTCCGTGGCAGCTCACAATTGTCTCTGACTTCAATCCCACGGAACATAATGCCCGCTCTGGCCTCCAAGGGCCCTAAATACACATGGTGCACAGACAACATGCAGACAAAATCCCATACACACAAAAATATAATATAAAAAAGATATAAAAAAAGAGAGAATGATAAATAGAACAAAGGATAGAATGATAAATAGAATAATAGAATAATTATAAATAGAATATTTTATATTATATATAAATAAATAGAATAATATAATAATTTATTTGATAAATAGAATAAGTTGTTTTTTTTTTTTTGGTTTTTCGAGACAGGGTTTCTCTGTGTAGTTTTGCGCCTTTCCTGGAACTTGCTTTGGAGACCTGGCTGGCCTTGTACTCACAGAGATCCGCCTGCCTCTGCCTCCCGAGTGCTGGGATTAAAGGCGTGAGCCACCACCGCCCGGCTGGAATAAGTTTTAAATTTAATAAATTAATTAGAATTTCTAATCAGTTTCTATATAGACTAAAACAACTTTCATTCAATTTTTTAAACTACCTTCTTCAATTTTCTGATACCCTGATACAATAAGCATAGTACATTATGGAAACATGAGTTTGAAACACTGAAAAAATTATACTGTACATAAGTAAAATTTATCTTAATGATTTGTACTATTTAACATATTTAAATTTGTTAAAGTGAAGAAATGTTTTTAAAACTTGGACCCAGGTACACAGGTAAAATGCCATGATGCTGCCCATTGTAGGCAACCTTTAGGTACCTCCCCACATGCAAGTCACTCAACTATGTAAGTTTTAAGAAACTGAGAGGGATATTTGCAGTTATCATTTTCAAATGTAATTATTTAGACTTTGCTTTAATGTAAACAAGACCTCAATATTTCATAAGTTGCAATGTCATATGAGGTTTTCTGATTATCATTTTGTTTTCTGAAATAAATAATTTACTTTCTAATTAATTGACTTCCATGTACAATGAAAGGACATAAAGGATATGAAATCTCAATACCCAATAAGTATTTACAAACAGAAACACACACACACACACACACACACACACACACACACACACACACACACAAGGGTGGGGGGAGATGACCATAGTCTTCTCATGCTCATACTTTATCTTTCATTTCATCATGACTTCTTAAATTATATTTGACACGTTTGTTTCTACAAATATGTTATTTTTAAATCCTTTATATATCTTATAATAATTATATATTGGAACCAAAAAATAGAAATATTCAGCTTGATAAATTTGGAGTATGAAAATTCCTACAACTGTGAATCATCTACATCAAGGATTGCAGTGTAATTAATTGACAGTATAATACTACTACTTTATATATGGTTATAATACTTCTGTTACTTGTGTATTTCTTCATTTTCAATGTGTATGTGTGTCTTATATCATTACTTTACAGTTAGTTATAAGTTTTACATCCATGTTCTCACTAGTGACATCTCTCCAAATTTGGGGGGTAAAATAATTGCCACCAGGGAAAAGTGGCTAAGCAGTCTCCTTTTAATGAAATGAAATCTCATTCTGGTTCACCTTATCATTTCCCACAGACCATGAGTCCCCTAGAAGTTACTCGTCTACTGTGACTGACTTGGGAAGAAGTCTATCACGGGAACGAAGAGGAAGTCCAGAAAAAGAGGTAGTTTACAGTATCGGAGGGTTTTTCAAGGACCTTCTGAGAAAGCATTCACCAGCTAGCTGTGCACCTCAGACCAGTAAAGACTTCAGCCTGAAGCCTGACAGCAGCAAGAAGAATCTAGAAGCAGGCATAGAGCCTGAGTTTAGGCTCCAGTTATTCCCAACTTGGGATGCACTTTGGGCAATGAGGCGTTTCTGAGTCTTGGCCTGGCAGCCATGAACTAACAGAGTTCTAATTAGCCTGTTCTGTGTAAGACTGGAAGTTTCTACACAAGTACTTTTTTTTTCACTTTTTAAAATTTATTTTTCTATTAGCAGCATGATACAGTATAAATTTTTATCTTAATTGTGAAATGTTTCATTGAGGCTTGCCCAGTAATTGAGTAAAACCAAAACTTAATATAAGCCACAGTCATCCTAGGGTCCCCCCTGCTATATAGCCTCCCTGGTTCTGTTGGTTGCAGTCTGATGGTTCTTTGCTTTATATATAGAATCCACTTATGAGTGAGTACATACCATGTTTGTCCTTCTGGGTTTGGGTTACCTCACTCAGGATGATACTACTTTTGTTGGAGAAGACCACCAAGTTCTTATAGCATTGAGAAGTTCTTATACACCACTGACTCCTGGTCCCTCCACCTTAAACCAGAGCTGGACCACCTATTCCTAACTGCCCTGGGGGCCATGAGGGCTTGATGGAAACTAAAAACTGACCTCTCACTGACAGGTGTCTGAGAGACACTGTGAGACCACTACAAAGTCATGAATTGCCCAAGTTTCTTGAAGCTCACTAGAACCCCAGGGGAAGAAAAATTGGATGAAAGGATTACTGGTTGGTGAGAGGGAAAGAGCTGATATCACTACCTACATGGTATAGTGTGCCTCAAGTAGATTTGTGGGCCCCAGAGTTTGAGGGTAGGCATGGGGATCACTTCATAACTAAAAGATAAGCCAAAGGATTCCTGAACCCTCCATTTCTCTGTTTTTGGCTAACTAACCTCTTGATAACTGGGCTACTACTTCTTGGATAATCAGTATTTAGTGAAGATTATGATGGCTTCTTTTGTGGGTTTTGTTCCTTTTATTAGGACTCAGACAGACTAGTGTCAACCCATAGAAGTTAGAGCAGCTGGTCCTCCACAAATGGTTTGTTTGTGGTATTCAAAAATGGCACATTAGGACAGAATCTTCGATGGGCATTTTATCATATTGTGGCATAAATCTACTTCAGTTGCTGAAATGAAGCCTAGTGAGAAATCAGCTGTTAACCAGGCGGTGGTGTTAATCCCAGCACTCGGGATGCAGAAGCAGGCGGATCTCTGTGAGTTCGAGGCCAGCCTGGGCTACCGAGTGAGTTCCAGGAAAGGCGCAAAGCTACACAGAGAAACCCTGTCTCGAAAAACCAAGAAGAAAAAGAAATCAGCTACTGTAGCCCCATTTAGTTCACTAGTCTAAAGGTACCACTAACTGATACATTTGTAACTGGAACATATCACTTACATCGCATGTGTTTTACTGTTCTCATATGAAATTCAAAATTTTTAATTTAGTGCTCAATGTTTACCTTTCTTTTCAGAAAATGCCTGCAAAAGCTGTCTATGATTTCAAAGCTCAGACATCTAAGTAAGTGGAGTAAAAACTCACTATGTGTTTGAACTTCATTTTTCCTATTGTAGGAAGGTGTGTGTGTGTATGTGTGTGTGTTCCATGGGATGTGTTATAAACAAGATTCAAATCACAATTCTATAATACACTCTAGTCAGCTCCTTCAAAATTGCTAACTCAGATAGGATCATTTATTTTCAAGTTCAGTTGTGAATCGCCAAATCTCAAATCACATCAGTTACATTGAAGCACAATGAATTCAGAATAGGAAAACAATAAGGAATAAAGATTATTTTTTTCTAGAATTTTTCCTTTCAATAATTTAATTTTTTCAGTGATTGGGAGTAATTATCCCTACCTAGCAAGGGGAGCTTGACCTCATTTATTTGTTCAGCTACATCAAGGACAGTCTATGGGTACCAGCACACAGATGATCCTGTCGTGAATACTTAATCTCACATCACTCAAAGCTTAGAGATTCTGAGGAAAGCCTGCTCCTGTCCTGTGGTCCTTCAGTGCTGATGTTTTCATAGTCCTGTGTTCCATTCTTTTAGCCTGTTTCTTTAGGATCTTCTTCATCCAAAAGGCAAGGCAGATAAATAAAGAAGAATAGTGCTGAGCATACAATAGATCTACATCTGGGGGTGGGGGGGATGTCCTCTTTACAAGCTTGGTCCCCCAATCACCAGAAACCCTCTCATTTGGCTTCCTCTCAAAGTCTCCATCACAGCCTCAAAGTAGAGCTTAGCTAGGAGAAAAGCCTAGGGCCTCGTGGAGCATTTGAGACACGAACTACAACATAACAGCATTTTGTTTCTTCTGTGCTCCAGAGCTAATTGCTGTTCTTAGGCCATGATGTGATGCTTTGCAAGATGTTATGTGAAAATTACATAAAAGATATTTATTTTATTTATTCTTTGCGACAAGCCATCCAACACTTTACTAAATATGTACCACCAGAAGGGCATCTGCCTGAGGCTCCAAAGGTGTTCCATGAGGTACATGAAGTTGAAAGGGAGGGGCGGGGAGGGGCGTATGAGAGAAGTTAGAACGGAAGGAGCAGGCGTGGATTTGATCAAAACACATTGTATACATGCGTGAAATTCTCAAAAAAAATATTTTTGAAAAATCAAGAATAAAAGTGAAAACACCCACAAGATTCGGGGTCAATGAGATGGCTCAGGGGATAAAGGTTCTTGACACTAAGCCTGACAATCTGATCCTCTAGTTTCTTATAATGGAAGAACCAATACCTACAAGTTGTCCTCTGATTTCTACACATGGTGTTATGTGTGTGCATGCATTCACACACACACACACACACACACACACACACACACACACACACACACATAAATGTAAAATAAACAAACAAATATAAACAAGCTTCAAAGAGAAGATGACACCCATCACAGAGGAAGGGGCCAGGAACATGATTGGATCACTGACTTTAGATTGCACCACATAGCAAGCCCCTCATCCTATATCCATGGACTCCATCCTCTCCTGGGGTTCCCCAGTGGAGAGTCAGGAAATCTTGCTCTCCCACATTGCTGAGGGGGAGCTATGGCACCTTTCTGTCTTTGCCATCCCACCTTTCACTGAGCACATGAGTAGGTCTGTCTAATAAAATCTAACTGTAGTAAAGTAGATTCACCAGCCTCCCATAGAAGCCCAGAAAGAAAGTGGGTCCACTCATCCTATAAATAGCTTGGTCTTATTATAGCTTAATGATCCTCCTCTTGTTCTTTTTTCAGAAGATATAAAGAGAGCATCCATCACCCCCAATACGGTTTTATAATTGACATAAAATTCAGGGTGACAGGCAACTTATGTAACTTTCGTGGCTCATACACCCAAGCACCTCTGAAAATGGCAGAAAAAAGCCAGTTTTAGCCCCTTTAAATGGCCAAAAAAAGATATGAATGCTTTTGTACATAATATGAAAAGGCACACACTTATAGATCTATATTTTAAATAAGTATATCTTTAAAGCTGTTTTTAATCATTTAACAGTTCAAAGCTAATAATTCTAAAATTACAGCTAAGTAACTCACCCAACAAAAATGTCTCAATTTTAGATGGGAAAAGAGACATTTTATTTCCCATAGGTCCACAGTAGCCAGTATTCCAAAATGCAATAAAAATACGGCAAATTTATCAAAATGGGACTCTAGCTATGACAGGAGAGGGACAGAGTTTTGAAAAGTAGATAATAAGGCAACTTTCCCTTTACTGGATATATCCAGATTTCTAAATGCAAGCCTAAATTAAGTAGAAAAGATCTATATCCATCTTAAAAGAAAAAAAAAATAGTTGCCTATCATTTCCATCCATATTCAAAAATTTCAACTTGATGCTTAGAAAAGCTCCTGCTACAAGCCAAAGTGTTAGGTTATAAACATTATATATGACTATAGACTGGCAAGGTCACAATAATCTGTCCCCTCTTTCAAATTTCATGTCATCACAGGATGTGGTTTATACAGGGTGTGATCCACAGCCTTGCTCTTCAAAATCATTTCCAAGATTACATAAGTGACTTCTAGAAATCTGTAAGGAAAATCCTTATCTAACTGAGCTTGGCAGATGTTTTCATGTGGGAAGTGTATTTCTCAGATAAATATGGAATATCGATCGTAAGACTAATTGTTACTCACCCAGAAAGAGTCCACTGATCATGTCTCTTCCAGGGAGCTATCATTTAGGAAAGGAGATACGGTCTACATCCTCAGGAAAATTGACCAGAACTGGTATGAGGGGGAGCACCATGGAAGAGTGGGCATTTTTCCAATCTCCTACGTAGAGGTATGTCCTTTCTCCTCACCTCCAGAAGGATGCTGACCCAAAGGTTATCACAGGTTTAAGAACCAGTAACTGTTCTCTTTATAGAAGCTAACACCTCCAGAAAAAGCTCAGCCCGCCAGACCACCGCCCCCAGTCCAGCCTGGAGAGATTGGAGAAGCCATAGCCAAATACAACTTCAATGCAGACACAAACGTGGAACTCTCCCTGCGAAAGGTAACCTGGCTGTGTTCTTCATTGGGGTGTTTTCACTGACTGTGCAATTCTGAACCCAAGATGGGTTACCTTATTTTCTAGAACACCCTAGGGCTTCTTTAGTTTCTGCAAGGGACTCAGGATTGCTCAGAATCACTGTTATCTCTGGCCTCTGTGTTCCTTCCAGAGTGGGGTCCCTGGGAGACACAGAACTCTGAGAGTCTGTCTGTGACCTAGCCTAAGAAGCAAGACCCGAAGTCCGCTCTTTAGGGGAATCTTGACTAGATACTAAGGAGCACACATATGGGACCCCAAGAGGAGAATCCATTTCAGTTAGAATGCATTTTAGAGTGCATAAAGAATGCAATTTGAAGAAAACACTTTAAATTATCTTTATACTGTCTCATTGCTCAATTTTAAATATAGGTAGCCAATAATTATTTTCTCTATCTTGAAATCGAGGAATGGTCTTAAAGTAATGAAAATACGTCCTCTCTAAAAGCCTTTTTAAGGTGCCATCTGTACAGTCCTGTTTTCTTTTGATCATTCTCCAGGCCTCGTGATGAGTCCAAATCTCTCTCACAAACTATCCAAGTACTTTGTCTGGTAAAGTGAGGGCAGTTCAAGTGTGCAGGAGATGGTCTAGTTTTCTCCTCCCATTCCTAGTTCTGAATCATCAGCGATTCTCTTACTTTCCATGTGCACAACCCAACACAGAAAACTGCACATGGTGTGCCATCTTCTGTTCCATACTTTAAAGACAGGCTGCTGTGTGAAATACCCAAGGAAGGCCTAACTATCAACTGCCTGTTCTGGGCACATTAGAAAATGGGTGCAATTTTGAGATTTGGGGAAAATTCACTTTTCTTCGGTGTTCTCCACTCGGTGGTGATGGGCACCTGTAGCAAGCCACCCAGCACTTTGAGTTAAAGAAAACCTTCAATGTGCTGGCATTGAAAGGGCTCCCTGCTGTGCTGAAGTTCATGAGTAGAGGTCACCTCCTCTACTCTATCAGATGCTATCAGATTCAGTTCCCCACAGTTCTAGAGCGCCTTCTAGCTGCACCTGCTGGGTTTGCTCTCTAGCAACAGCTTGCTAACCTTGTTCTGGCCCTCCTGTGGTTTTGAGTCAAGAGTTAGATAAAGTTATCTAGCATTGGCCCGCTCTTTGCAGGAGGCATAATAGTGATCAGAAACGTCTACTACTGCAAAAGCCAAAGATTCTATTCAAAGGGCCAGAATGGCAGAGCCACTCACCAGTTAGAATGGATGCTGGTGTTACCCTGTCCCGATGAGAGCAGGGGGATGTTAGCCCACTCCACAGCTATGGGTGTTCTAGGTTACCATCTTCGCCCCATGCTCTTCATTCTGAAGAAACACTTTCTTCTTCCCGCTGATCGTCACATTGATGCTAGTAGAGATTAGATGGGGCTACTGCCATTGAGATGACATCTCTCATACCATCTGCCCTTTGAAATGACTTCCACAAGTCACTTTACTTTGCACCAGTATGAAACATGTATAAGCCCATTCCCATCAGGATTCTAATGTCATGAATGGGAGGTTTATGTGCATCCATGCTGACAATCTATGCTTTTCTAATAAACACTAGAACCTTACTTGCATTCTTCTGATCAAGCAAAAAATGGGAGGTATAAAACTTTTCCAAATAGAAAACTACTGTTCTATCAGAAAACAATGACAATTATGCTTTTTATATTACTGTGTCTCTACTTATAATGCATTTTCCCAATGCTCGTTACAGGGTGATAGGATTATTCTTCTTAAAAGAGTTGACCAAAACTGGTATGAAGGGAAAATCCCAGGAAGCAACAGGCAAGGCATCTTCCCCGTTTCCTATGTAGAAGTCATCAAGAAGAACGCAAAAGGTGCTGAGGACTACCCCGACCCTCCTATACCCCACAGCTACTCTAGTGATAGAATTCACAGCCTAAGTTCCAACAAGGTAAGAAGCCATCCTATCACATTAACTCTGAACTTGGGATCTTGGGATATTAATAACCAGTGGGTGACTGGGGGTATATCAGACCATCATATCTATTGAAAAGAAACAAATGCATATATCATATTCATATACATGAGTTCCAGATCAGAAAATAAGTTCATTTTCCTCAAATAGATGCTTGGATAAAGGCTTAGTGTTTATTTTTGCTAATTCAGTTTTCAAGTTTAAGTGCATAAAGAGAAAAAAATGTTAGTATCATCAGCATTTCTTGACACGTCTCTGTATTTAGGTGTTTATACATACACACACACACACACACACACACACACACACATATACATACATGCATACATACATTTACCCCTAAATTGTGTATCATTATATAATTATTAGGTGTACAATAGCCTATGAAAGCCTTCAGGCACTTTCTACATAACGTAAGACATTATTTTTAATTTAGGGCCTATAATTTTTGCACAAAAATAAGGTAGTATATTAGAAATGTTCACAGTTTTTTCATTAGTTTTAGGGCCATAAATTCCACTGACTCACTTAAGCTGGTAGCTGAAGATGATTATTTTTATCAATATAATTTAGAAAGGACTTTCCCTCCTGAATGGTTCATTAGATTAAGGCTAACCTCCTACCTCCCTTATTCCCAAAATATTTTTCCTCATTTTTCTATTGTTATAAGATATTTTATGGGTGTATGTAGGGATTTCTTTCTCCTTTACAGTTACTTTAAAATATAAAAATTTTAAATCACCAGGGAATGATTTCCAAAACGTTGTCAAGTGCCTCCCAATGTGAAAAATGACGTATTCGGTTGTATAATATGTCACCTGTTTTAGTTGAGATCAAGGCAAAAATGTACATAAACAGGCCATTAACACTGTGAAAGGGTGCAGTCAAGATCACTTTCAGACAGCATCCCCAGGGACCTAAGCCACTCTACCTATTTAGTAAATTTAGTAAATTATTTAGTAAATAATCCATGAATGGTAAATAACTTATGGATTTATCTCAGTTGAGATATTTTCCTTTAAAAAGTCTTAATATTTGTCATTTTATTCATTCTAATCCTCCTTGAAGACTGGGTTTTAGTCGTGGGTAATTACTCAAAAGTCCCTATCACTGGATAGCTGAGCACTTTACATCAATTTGTTTATGGAGGTTCTAGAATTTAACACTTAGAGATCAACATCCTTCCTTTGCTAGTTTCTATTGATAACGGGGAAATATAAGAATCTTCACCCATCCATGTATGTTTTGCCTACCCTCCACTCACCTTCAAAGAACTATTAGTTGACTCTCAAGTGACGGAAGCTCTAGATAAACTGATGCAGGAGAAAACAGCATGTATCTACAAATGCTTACTTAGCACTGAAGAACTTCTCCCATGTGCTTTAATTAATAATGGCAGGCTAATAGTTTAAGTCAATGTTTTTGGATTTTTCTCTGAATATATTTTAAATGCCATTCATGTTTTTTGTTGTAATACCACATTTTAAATAGAGGAATGTATTAGTTTCACTAGTAACCAACTGTCTTCTTCTTATTGTTCAAAAAAAAATGTATGTTGAAGTTGATATCCATAATTTGAAAGAAATTCTAGTTTCATTTCAACTGGTTATCTACCCTATGATGTCATTGGCTTAATGAAGGAAATTTCTGTAGTGTTGCCCTAGTCAAATTTCAGACAAAGAAATAAGTCTTTTTAAAGAGTGAGATACAAAAGCAGCAGCCAGGTACAGCTCCCGTTTTCTGACTGACACTTGCAAATAGAGAATGCGATGCGTTAATGACGTTTGAATCACTCTGGCAAATTCAAATCACATAACTTGACATATTTCTATTTTGAGGAAGGCTCAAATATAAGTTGCTATTATTTCTGATTTTGGTACAATAGAATCCAATTCCAATCCTTTTTTTAAGATGAAATAACCTGTTAAGAGTACTCACTGCTCTTCCAGAGAGGACCCTGGTTCAATTCCCAGCACCCACATGGCAGCTCACAACTGTCTATAACTCTAGTTCTAGGGGGCCTGACACCCTCACACAGACATACATGCAGGCAAAACACCAATGCACATGAAATAAAAGGAAATAAATTATTTTTAAAAAGATGAAATAGCTTTCATTTTGTGTTATAGGTATGTTTTGAGACATAGGTACTCCTTAATCAAAATTAACACTTAATTTGACCTTTGGTATTATCAAGTCCATTTTAAAGTGTTTGCTCTTTTGGCCTTTTAACCTGTATAGAGGTGACACGGGGCAGTGACAGTAAAGTTGGTAGGAGCAGATCACAATAGGGACTCTGGTTGCAATGATGATGACAAAATTGAGAGATTCCTCGTGCACATAACATTCCCGTCCACCCGAGGAAAAACATAAAGGTATTCACCTTGAGTTACTATCAGTTTCACTCATTTCCAAAATCTAAGTACTAAGATCACATCTTGCACTTTTGTGTCTGTCACAGGAAGTGTAAAATTGAATTTTAGCCAGGAAGAGAACTTCCATAGACTCTCAAATAAGACTTGACCTACAGGACCGGAGCAGCTGTCAGCTCATCACAAAACACATGCACAGTATGACTTCACGTCAGTGCCCAAGCAGACTTGGATCTTGTATGAAGATGCTCACAGGGTCGTGTTATGCTTGGTGCCGCTTGCGACACCCTGTGAGGAGATTCCATCATATGCCCCTTAAAATTTAAATAAGTGCCCCATCCTCCAATAGAACACTTTAAATCAATTATTCAGTGGCAGATACTGCGCAGTTAGACATAGCAAAGCCCATGGCTGCATGTGTGAAGCCTTATTCTGAACCATCAACCAGAACATGCATCTCCAGCAACCTTTTCTGGAAGACTGTTTGTCTCATAAACCAAAGTCAACTATCCAGAAAACACAAAAGGCCATCTACATCCTCTTTCATGGCCTTTGGATGCACAATATGAAGCATTGTTTTTCTTATCCAGCAAGGGTAGAGCAGGATAAATTACAAATTACTCAGCAGCCCCTCTAGAAGTACTTCTTTTGAATTTGCATTTGTTGTTTTATTTAAAATATTCAAATTATATCATTATTATGCAAATATAAAGAATGGTATTTTGGCTTCATAAGATCCAGCTTCATAAATTACATTCTTCGGGCTTACATAAAATACCAGGCTTAGAAGATGACTGCATCAGCATCTCATGTCTCCTCCTGTGTGAACATTTACTTCAGAGTATTTTTTTTTTAACTTTGAAGCAATGGTTTTGCAAGATTGGTTTCATTCTGATCACAGGTCTCTATGATTAAGAAATACGTTTTTAGCACTTATTCCCTTAAACATGTGTACATGTATACTAATCAAAAATATTTTATGCCGTGTAAATGGGACAACTGTAAAAACTCAAAGGAGTGAGCACCTCTGCAAGGAGGGAGAATGGTAAATAAACTCAGGGATTGAAACAAAGCTTAGTTATGTGATATTATTCTGTGCTAACCATCCTCAGATACAACTGAAATATAGATAAGAGTCCACATAGTCTCAGACAGGTAGATTAATACTAAGCTTCTTGGGGTTTCACTGTCTGCCCTCTTGATCTCTATGAAGCTCTGTCTCCTCTTTTGATGCTTAACATATCTTCCATAACTAAGAGAGTTTGGTTGCTCCAGTCAGGTTCACAATTAGTCCAAATGATTTTATGCATTTAAATTTCAAAAACTTCTCCCAATCTAGATATCTTCCAAGTATCTTCCATCTGTGTCTGTGCTGCAGTCTAAAACTGTATTCATCACCACACCTTTCCTGTATTTCCCTGTTGTCGTACTTTCATGTGTTATTATTTTCTTTGTTCATTTTACTTCATAACTCCTGCTTATTTATAAGCTGGCTTCCGGTGAACAGTCCTGTCTTCCTGTGTACAATGCTCTGCCCAGCACGGAGAAAGAAGCCCTCCAGGGGACTGCCCAAGAGTGGCTTTCCCTCACAGACTGGTGTCCACCAGCAAACCCATTGGCCCCAACACCATCCTCTTTCCTTGACAACTTCTTGGTTGAATTAGAGAAGTTCAGTGCTTTAACCTTACCATCTGACCAGGCCAAACCGAACATCCTAAACCAGGTCATTCTTGAAATTAAGGAGGAGCCCTCTCATCTCCCCCTCTCACTGCCTCCAGCATCTCTACCAGTCAAATCACCTCGCTATCTGTTACCTTCTCCTCACTCAAGTACCAGCTCAGCTGGGGCCCAGAATGATGAAATGGTGTCTCTTCAGGCTCCCACAGTGGACACTCAAAGAAAATTTATAGATTTGAATAAAAAGAGAAGGGGCTTTTCAAACCCTACCAAAATCCTTGAAGTCTTAGGCGATAAATTTGTGGCCTCTGCGTGCATCAATGTGAATGCCTTGCCTATAACTCTTCCTGCCATTGGAGAGGAAGATGAGGAAATCTGTAAGGGGCTTGAATACCAAAGATGGCTGCCAGGATCTCAAGAGCAAGATGTCGTGTGGTGTGACCACAACAGTGCAGAGGTGACACCACAACTACACATCAAGGAAGAAGAAGAAGAGGAGGAGGAGGAGGAGGACTGCTTAAAACATTCACTAGGCATTCGCACACATCCTAGGACCCCCAAGGAAGACATCAATGCAGCAAAACCCAGTAATGAGGTATTTAATTTTGCCTAATTACTGGGAACTAGCCAGTTTTACAATTAGCCAGAAGAGTTAATGATATCTCTAAATATCTGCTTTGGACACTGCCTTAACAGGCTTCCTTATGAGGAATAGAAGCATTGGAAATTCTGGGGTGGAAGGAATATGCAAACACACATAGTTTATTAAAATGATGGAGGTTTGTATGGTACAATTCCACTCTTCCATTATTCCTTTGTCACTATAAATTTAACTTTTATACACTGAAGCTTATTGTCTTCCTAATATTCTAATATTAATAATGATAGCTATTCACTAACTCTTAGTGTCAGGGGCTATTCTCAGAA